AATAGCCTGAAAAACCCTACACAGAGAGTAGAAATTAAAGACTGGATTCCAGGCCCTCCTACATACTCCTGCTTCTGCCACTGCCTGTGGGAAACACATCCTTCTAGTGCTTCGTTTCCCTGTCGTGTGTGGAGATACACAATAGTACACATAACACTCCTCCAGGACCTTCAAAGATACAGAGGAAAGGTCCAAAGCTGTGAATGGTTCATAACTTCTGTTGCAGGTACAGCAACAAGAGAGTGGGATGGGACAGGAAGGAAAGAAATTGGTTGAACTGTTTTCAGAGCTCAACCAAAAAAGCTTAAAGAAAGCTCAGCTTTAGGGTATTTTCTGCTGTGACTGCTATACAGTTGGAATACCAAGAAGCTGTGGTTACACATGTGGTTTTAGGATACTTACTATTACATTAAAATGTTACTGCCTCAACAGTTGAACTGGTATCAGTTTGCTTTAATGAGTCAACAAACTTTATGCCAAATAAATTATCTCTTGTCTCACAGATGAAATAAAGGGTGGTCTAAAGTCTGTGTTTTGTTCTCATATATGTACAGAAATGCAATCATGCACTCCTATTTTACTTAGGTCAACTTTATCCTGACAGGAGATCTGATAGGTCCGGTCTTAATGGATGTAGCCAAGTTAAGCACTGCAATAGCTTAAACAAGCAATGTTGTTTTAAACCAGATTTGGTTACACAAGTATATAATCTTCTAACTGCCGTTTGAAATATTCCTTAGATTTAGACTGTGCTGGTGTGGGATGGTGAATGTGAATGACACCAGTATAAAAAACTCCCAATGAAGACCATTTTATGTATGTATTATACAAAGCTGCTTTATTATTCTGCATATCCAAGTGTGAAACAGTCTGTCTTTCTCCTTCTCACATCGCTATGTCTATACAAGAGATGTAAATTTTTCCACATCCTGAGCTGGTTAATACAGTATGACAATAATGTTCTGTTACAGAAATGTAGCTGAAAGTCTCTGACAGACAAATCTGGATGAGTCCTTCTGGGAGGTTCTAAAACTACAGATTAATGTCCTTTGTAAAGGGCTATCAATCTGTGGTCAAAGGCTAGCAACAATCAGAAGGGAACACGTACCCATGCCTTGGGCATTCCAGTTCATACTCTGATGTACTGCCTTAAGCTGTTGACAAAAATGAGTAAACCAATGAAGTAAGAAGAAGGCACCTTTTCCATTCTGTTTTCTCTGCTATAAAGAGTCAAAAGGGGTTTGGAAGACAAACAGGTATAGCAGCATCTTAACTGCTGACATTTTTCTGGACAAGTTTACAAGTCAGAGTCCTAAATATAATTTCACCAGTGTAACAGACCCAAATGTGTGTTACATTAACACCACTTCCAGGATTAAACAAGTCATGCAAATTGTATTCCACAAGCTCTTTGTTACACTGTGGTTATTAGAGTTTTTAAAAGAGCTGTAGCTGACAAGCATATTGTAAGGATAAAAGAAACCATCACATGCTCTGCAACTCTTAAAATATCAAAGCTAATATGATGATATAGTCAATTAAATTCTTAGTGTGACAGCTAAGTGCTGCAGCTCAGTAACATGGAAACATTGCTGGAAGTTCATTCTAAGAAATACTTTCTACTACAGGATTTATAAAGCAGCCCCCTTTAAAGGAAGCTGAAATTCCTAGAAACCTTATGGAAAGCTGAAACCCAAGCAGGAGCAGGAATGAAGAACAGATAACATGGTGCTGAAGTTGAGAAAAGCTGCAGTATGTGCGCGTGTGACTCAGACTGTAAGTAACAGATAGCAGGGGGGAAATGCCCGAAGAGGTGAGAAACATGTTGCCTGAAGAGACAAGATTTTGCATGACGCATTCAGCAGACATTCATAGATACACATACTGATGCAGGAAAGCAGTTCTTAGTCTTGGGCTGATTTGAATCTTAATCTTCCCCAGAGACCTCTGGTCATTAAGATGAACTGCTTTTTGATTGTGGTTAGAGGACACACATCAAGAATTGCCCCATGGTTATTCTGTGATATAGTTTTATTTTCAATCTTCTCCCCTTCCAGGATGGAGTAGGCTGATTATTATTTTTTTCCTGATCACTGTTCAATACAGAATGAGCAGAAATATTCCCAGAGTATGCATAGTACTTTTGAGGCTATGGCCATTTTACGTCTCTTAACATTCCCTGGGATTCCCTCAGCTCAAGAATGAATGAAGGCTATCTTTTATTCTGTTTATTTTTACCTATGGGTAAAGCTGCCACTTCCTTGAGTCTTACTAATGCAAGAATTAGTTCTCCATTTGCCTGTGCATAGCATGTAACTGTATTTCTTTCCTCTTCATCTCAAGTTGCATTGCTGCTATCCAGATCTCCAGAGTTAACACCTTAGGTGCAGGGTGACTTTGGTAAGTAGTTTTTGTGACATGAACATAATGTTGGTAACAGTATAAGGTTGGCATATTTGTTTTAAACATTACATCACTAAACAAACATCACTTATAACAGAAATTGCACAAATAACAATCAAATACTATTACTGACAAAACAAAACAGCCCATCATAACATGTTACTTCCTAATTATTCTGTTTCCTAGCTGAAACAAACCATGCATCTTGGCTTGGCATCTACAAAACATTAATTTACATTTTACCTTGTGCACTTTGAATGCTTGGGATGACTCTCCATCACTTGTCACAATTCCAGCACTCTCCTGGCCCCTATGGACAAAATAAAATTAACATAAAGCACTGAAATGATGAGAACGAAATGCTTTAACATACAGTGGATTGGTGTTTTCTCATCTACTCTTTACAACATGAAATTTTAATGTAGGCTGTTTTGTTACTTGATTTTACAGGCTTGTAATTACAACTGGTTTCTTGCCCATGTTATGCTTCATTTCAAAACAGTCACATAAGGTTTGTGCCTAAGCCCACTGAATTCAGCAGGACTCCTTCCACTAATAAACACTGGCTCAGGCTCTTACTGCAGTCCTGTTTCAGTGTGGGCATAAAATAACAGCAGATGCTTAATCTGAAAAGCCACTTTGCAGTGATAGTAGTCTAGGCTGTAGTAGTAGGCTCAACAGTGCTACTCTATTTCTGCTGGGGGGGGGGGGAAGTATTAAGAAACTGATGGCTTTGTGTCTTCCACAGTGTCTTCCACTGATCACCTCTGCAGAAGCTTTTGCATTCTTGCCTTTAAGAAGACAAGCTAGCATTTACACCTCTAAAAGCTATATGCACACTCCAATAAAAGCATTTGAGCACATAAAGCTAGTATCAGGCATCACAGCTTCTGAACTCAAGCAAAACAAGTCTGGTGTACAGTGTCACTGCAAATGGAAATACATCTCTTACACACCACCCTCAGGCTGGCAGCTGTGCTTTGCTGCTCACAAGAGCTCTATCAGCTGGGATGACAGCGTTTTTTCCCAGCTTGCTCCCAGCCCTCCCCAAGCCTGCCTGGGCCCCCCAAAGCTGTGCTGTGGGAGCCAGGCAGAGTACTGCATGGCTGCCCAAGGCTTGTATTTCAGTCCCTATCCATTGGAAAGGTATGCTTTGCAGGCTGTATTGTTTGTGGGTAACAGTGCAGGCCACTCCATCTCCTATTAAAAGGCTTCCTGGAGAAAGGCAGTGTTACCTCTGACAAAACTGCTGCCATGTGCCCACTGTGCCTTCAACTCTCCTAAGGACTTTGGGGGACTGGTAAGCTGCCATCCACTCCCATACGTAATGACTGAAAACCAAAGATGCTTTTCTTAAAAAAGGAAACGGGATATTTTTAGCTTATTAGATGAGATGCTGCTTGTGCATTAGACTGGTTTAACTCAACCAGAGTCACTGGAATTATTTACTATTAGCAACAATAAAATTGGGCACAAATAAGTCTACAGAATGGCCATGCTCACTATGAATCTTCTTCAGAGCCTCAAATTGGTCACTAACGGACCTAAAATTGGTCACTAGCCCCAGCTGTACATAAAGCAAAATTCTAAAGAACATTTGCTTGCAGAAAGCAAAACGAAACAAACTGAATGAATTTACCCTGCTACTGACACAGACCTTCAAGAGAAAATCAGAGATGGAAGACATTCTTAACCCCATTTATTTTAACTCAGGAAGGTGTCTTGTCTATAAATACAAAGATGGGTGGTAAACTTTAAAGGCTGACACACAGCATTCAGCAACTTTTAATTCCAATGTTAATATTATAGGCAATTTCCATTTAAATACTGGCACTGTCCTTTTAAATATCAACAAAATATTAGTGAGAAAGAGGGCAGCAACCATCCCAGCAAAGGCCCATGCAAGTCAAAGGCCCTTGTCAAGTCGTTGGGTTATGCCTTTCATGTAGTGCTAATGAAACAGAAGGAAGCTCAATATCATTACGTCAAAGTTCACACAATTTTATCAATTCAGCCAGATTTTGAAGTATGCAAGCTTTGCATTAAGTATCAGTAATAACCAGCGAATATTAGCTTAAAATGTGCACGTACGACCACCAATCCAAACCAGCTGAGAATAAACACAAAGCAGGATGACCCCATCCACATCAGTGTTGTATCAACCACTGCAGCTTGTCTGACAGCTATGCCCCATGGTTCCCAGCTGTTATCTGGGAGGCGGGAGCTGCAGCAGCACCCACCCCACCAAGGGCAGGCACGAATGGGTTTTATGGGGCTCTTTTATGTGTGTGTGGGTTTATTTTAAGGCACAAGATAGCGTGACCCTCTGTATTCCCTGTGTCCTGGGAATATAGAGGCCAGCCCTGGCAGGGCAGCCCCTTCCCACAGAAGGCTTAACGCCACCACACCGCCCCAGCGGATTTTCCCTGCGGCTTTTCCCTGCGCCTAGCCCGCTTATTTGGCAGTTTCTCAAGTTACTCCCCTCAGGCAGCTTGAGCCAGTAGAACTAGATCCTTTCATCTCGGTGGAGCTTACTGACAACCAGCCGCCTGGTTTCCTAGGAAACAAAATCTTGGCTAGAAATAGTGAATCATTTCCAGGTCACTTTCAACATGGAGAGTGGAGCAGGGAAGCATTGGACTGAGGAGGAGGTTAAAGCCTTGTTAAGCGTCTGGTCAGAAAAAAACATCAGAAAGCAACTCCATGGCACCCTGAGGAATAAAGGGATATTTATCTACATTGCTAAACGGTTGCAGGAGTTAGGAGTTTGCAGGGATTGGAAACAGTGCCGTGCAAAGTACAAAAACCTCAAGTATGAATACAGAACGGTTAAATATGCCCACAACTCTGGGGATGTCACTAAAACCATGAAGTTTTTCCATGACCTGGATGCCATATTGCGATATGAACCTGTCACACAATTAGCGGCAGAAGAGAACGGCATGTGTTCTGTGACTGAGGCGCAGCTGAACACGAGCCCCACAGCCGAGAGCACGCAAGGTAAAAACCTGGTTTTTTGCTTCTCTTTCTCTTTGCTAAACACCCAAAGGGAACAAAACCGAAGCCTGGTTTGCTGCTGGAGCCGAAGCGGAGGCTGCGCAGCCCCAACAGCAGGGTTTGAAGTGACTTGATGCGCTCCTCACGCAGGGGAATAAAATGTTAGCACCCACCAGTGTCGAAGTCTGTAAATACAGCGTAATTCTGGCAAAATTATGCTAACGGCTTGTATTGCAGCCTCGGAGAGTGCCGGCTCCTGTCAAGGCTCCTGCACCCAGTTGAAACATCGAATTAAGAAAAGCCGTTTTCTTTCTGTTTGCAGTACTTTGGAAGCGGGTTTTGTAGAGCTGCAATTCAAGTGTAAACTTAAAGAGTCAAGGTTGAAGCTGTCATGAGGGGGTTTTAAATTGTTACTTGTGTTACAAGTGAAATTTAGGTTTTTTTATTCTTGTTTCCCTGTAACTAAAAATTTGTGTATGATGACTAAAGGTAAATTATTTTGTGAGCAATTCAACCTAAATATCTGCTAAACAGAGGGATGTTTAATAACGTCTCATTAAAAATTGTAATATAGCGAGGGAAGTAAAAATCGTCATGTTTATCAGACTATTTTGAGGCAAACCAACTGCTTTTCTTCTGAAGGAGCTTTTACCAAACTATTTGCATCTCTTTTTTTATTCAGCCCTCTCTACCTACGCATTTAAGCTGTGCTTAACATTTCATTAGGGTCAATCTGCTATTTGACATCACTCAGATCTCCTTGTCGCATTCTAAATGTCACTGAAGCATAAGCCCCAATAATAGTTATAAGTACTAAAATAACATGGCTAAAAAGAGAAACGAAAAGCTTAGCTGTCTGTTCCCACAGTACGTGGCAATTTACATTAAGATTGTGAATCTTTTTTAGGAAAACAAAAAACTCAACATTAGTATCAGGGGAGACTGCCAAAGGCACAGACAGGAGCTGGGCATCAGACTGGCTCTAGTACCTTTCCACGTCTCCCTCTACAATACTGTTTTACAGGTCTGAGCAAAATAAATTGCCATCTTTCTTGTCATTGTTTACCTTAATGAAAAACTTGACCTTAATCTGTCATCGCCAGCAGAAAGCCTCTAATCTGTCAAAATCACTTTAAACTAAAATGGCAATTTTTTTACCATGTGCTCTCTGCACAGTGTATTGCAATCCATTTTTATTTTTAAACTTGCAGAACCGAGGCCAATGCGAGCTGTTACATGAAACTAAGATAGTGTCCTTCATCTGAGGATCTGCCCTTAGATTACCATCTGTGTTTCAATGTAGTTTGCACCAACTGTTAATCCCAATTCGCACCTGCCTCAGATCTCTAGCAAATTTAAATCAGAAAAGGTTAATTTCAGCTGTGAATCCCACACTATAATATGTGTTAAAAAAAATTACTCCTGGCTGAGACACGCCTAATTTTGAAGTATTAGGACAGTCTGGGTCTAAAAGTGGTACAATTAAATCTCTTAAATGCATAAGCCTTTCTGTTCCTCCCTTTTTTAAAGGAAAACAAAACCCAAAGTGAAACAATAAGCAAAAATGTAAATGCAACTAACTAATAATGTTACAAGAATTTAAATGCAAAGATTTTCATAACAACCCTAATTCAGACACAAAGAAAATACATTAAGATAGAAATGTGTCCTGCAGCTATGAAGGATGCATACAACCATAACAAGGGGCAGAGAGAAGAGCTATGAGAACATCAACTTTCTTCATTTAAGAATACGGGTCAGGCAAGTAACTGCAGTACTAGAGGCCCAGTCCTTTTCCAACTGCAGTCGGAGTTGCAGTGTCTGCCCAGCCCAGTACTTTGAAGGGCACTTGTATGGCTAACGTGGCATCTGTGGCTTTGCAGCTGATGCTCACAAGTTCTTTCGTGGGGGCAGATCTGACAGTGTTGCTCCCACAGAAGGGAACACAATTCCTTATGTTGCCCCCATGGAAAGGAATGTGATTCCCGGCAGAGGCAAAGGCAGCCTGCTGCCACTGCCCCAGCAGTGGACCTGGCTGCTCCCCCTCAGACCTTCAGAAGGAAGAGGACTGCTTTAATGTGGATATCATCATCCCTAAGGCAGACAGACCAAAGTACATTTCTGTCCCTGCAGGTTCCCTTCTGGGCTCCTCCCTTTCAATCACAAAGCTTTATGGGAGAGGGGGGGAAATCATCCCTCCCCTCTTTAAATGGAGGCTGAGTCTCCTAATTTTGGCAGAGCTGGAGGAATCAAGGATGTCTAGGCTTGTGACTTGGGTAGCAAGAACAAAATGCTGTCATCAGACTAAAACCTGTGCCGAACAATACTGTCCACCATGCATGTATCATTTTGAAGAACTCGGGAGCTATACTAATTTGTTTTGTTTAAAAAGCATGACAAGGGACAAGGCATGCTCCCAAAGAAGTGACTGTATTTTCACCATTCTGCTTAGCCTCTGCAAAATACTCATATCCATCCTTAATGTAAAGCTGAGATTCCTGGGGAGGGAGAGGAAAGGGAAGAGAGTTAAAAACAGACTACTTTTATGGGGCTGAATGGTATTTCTATCGTGTTTAACCTGAGTTTTTTCTTCATATCTGGTAAAAATGAGTTTTCTTTTGAAAATGTAATTGAATAAATTAATACTGAAAATCACAATCAAATCTAATAACAGAGAGGTGTCTCAGCACAAATGTGGTAGCAATACACACACTAATTCCCAGCTCGTTCATGGAAGATGACACTTTCTGCATAAGCACAGTCAGCAGGGCAAGCCAGGTGTCCATGTTGTCCTCCCAAAACACGTTTTCAGAAGCAGAGCTGTAGCTTAAATACTAATTATAACAGGTAAAAGTCAACGTTTTCACCTGTCTTAAAATCTGATTTGTGTATTATCCCAGTAACCAACAACAAAGAAAATGCATGTGGAGTGATGGTGAACTATGAGAAATGGTATCTTTCATTAGAGCTCAAATGAATGACCTTTCCATTTCCTTAACTAGTTTTGCCTGTTCCAAAAATCCAGTATTAATAAATCAAGTACATGATTTGCAAAAGTTAATCTCACCTAGTAATTCATGTTAAGCGACTTATACTCTTTGATATTTCTCTCTTTATGTTTAAGTATTAATTCACTGGTCACTTTCCTTGACCTCCACCTTACCACAGCAGAAATATTACAGAAATATTACCAATATTGCAGAAATATTACCAAATCTGAGCAAAAATGCATTAGCAGTGACAATACTATCATATGTACAAAACTCAGACAGCTACTGGAAATCCAGAAAGATCCTTCAGAAATGCTGACTTGAAAATGCCACTCATGCATAATTTTCCATGACTGGACTTTAACGTTAAAGATGTCATTAATAAGTGGTTTATATACATTTTTTAATGAGTGTGCAGTACTCTTATCAAGTAACTTTTTTGCTCATCAGATGCTTGTTTTTTTCCCACCAAACATTTTAACATCTTTTTTTCCTGTGTGTGTTAACAGTTCTTATTTCTTAAGACAGTAACTTGTTTCTGTTTGATATTACAATGTAATTAAACCTGCTCGTCCTAGTACCCAGGTCACACTCAGCATCCTTCCAACAGAGTTTGTTTTCCCCTTGCATAATCTGCTTTGAAGCACTTCAGCAGGTCAAACGCCAGTCCAGGCGCTAGAGGTGGCGGCATGAGCACACCTTTCTCTCCTCAGCTGGCCGCAGGGGTAGCAGCTCCTCCCAGGGCAGCCAGGCAGACAGCTGGGAGCAGTTGGAGGTGAGGCCGCTGCATCCATGAGTCACTCTGAGCCCTGCTGAAAGTCAGGAGGATTTAGGATTCTGTTTTGAAATGCAGTTTTCAGTTTCACCTACGTCAGGATACCAGGATGCATCCCAACCGCACCTCGGTATGGTTCTTGTGACGAACTATTGCAGCACCTTTGAACAAGGCAGCTTTGATCTCTGTGACCTGCCCAGCTGGAGCTGACGGTAGCTCAACTCTTGTGCAGTGAATCAGCATTTCAAATCTCCTGACAGCATGGAAGGTTGAATACATTGTATCGTCATAGAACAACTTAAAAGTCTGTCCTCTGTGAAAATCAAGCTGATTCAGAAGCTGACTTACATGCTGCTTTCTACACTTACACAGAAATTGATGTGATACTACTTTTTAAACAAGTGTAGGAATGCTATACTGTAAAAAGCTAGACTGAATCCTGTCAGCATTCTTACATTTGTTTAAAAAGCAATGCTTTCATGCTTTCCCTATGCTATTAATGAATTTCATAGATCTCCAGAATTCTTTGCAGAACATTCCTGTTATCTTCATATTCTTGGATTTTTCTTTTTCTTTTTTTTGGTTGTATAGATGGATTTGCGGTTAACTGAATCTGTGTGCAAAGCCTATTTTTATTTTTATGTCTCTTACTTTTCGTTATCTACTTTAAAACTCCTTTTAGTGTGCTACCCAACCCACTGAGTCAAGAAAGCATACAAGTCACTAGAATCAAGTCAGTTTCTACAAGAATATTGAAATACATTCCAAACAGGCTTCATCTCCAAGATGTAAAATAATTTCATTTACCTCCTGTAACTTTTGTCTCCATATAGGGACAAGACAAATTAATTTTAAATTTAATTTAAATACAAATTAAGTGTGGAGATTACAAAGTTAATCATCTTCTTATTATTATCTTCCAAATATGTATGGACATTTTCACTTAAACTAATTTCAGCTGATTTAGTCCATACCTATTTTTCATATAAAAACTCTTTCCTTCCCAGGTGAAATATCAATTTCTTTAGAAGATGATGAGGATGCTCCAGGAGATCCACTACTTTTTATGTCTCATGTCAGACCTGTCCAACTAGGTATAGTATGATGGCGCAGAGATCAAAACCTAAAAAGCAGCACTTTCTGGTAGCTTGAATACATCGTCATTCCCTTTTCTCATCAACATAACTTTAAAACAGCCACACTTTTTGCACCATCTCCAGTTTTACCACTTGCAGTCCAATGCATCACTAGGTACTGACCACTGCATAGTCATGATGCAACACTTGCATGACCACTTGTTCACATTCAAAATACATCCCATGCTATAGCTTAATCCTATTAATCAGATTAATTTTATTAAATGCTACTGGAAAGTACGCCAAATGGTAGCGTGTAATACCCATGTCAACTTGTGGATTTTCTCTAACTCATGTAATTTCTGCTTAAAGCAGCATGAGTGAATGGCCTAAGTCAGGAAAGATGCAGAAGCCAGACCCATCCCACTGAATAATGCAGATTCTCAATGCTCTCCAAGCAAAGGGTGGTCAGCAATGCTTAAGTCCAACCACATACAACAACCCATTCGGAAACCATCCTACAGTTTTGCTCAGGAAAACCATCCTATAGTTTTGCTCAGGAAAGTCATTACAGAGCAAAGGCACAAATCTGGCAGGCCAGAAGGAGGAAGAAGATCCTAGGTGTGAGCCCCTTCAGGGGGCTGCTAAAGGAAATGGAGAAACCTGAACATTTTAGGCAGAATCAGGCAACCAATAAGCTGATTCCTTGCCTGGATGAAGAGCAGCACTGTCCTAAATTTCCTACTCATGCTGTCCATTTTTATATATACCCTTTATGCCTCAGGGATACATCCCAGTCCAGTTACAACTTCACTGATCTCCAAGGTGCCATATTCAGGGAGAAAACAAGGCCCCACCTAAGCCTATGGCTTTTACGTTACACATTATATGCCTCCTGCCTGGCATAACAAGAAATGAAGGAAGAGACAAGAATCCCTCATGGAATTATATGCACATATATATAAACAAAACTTTAATCTAAGTCAAATTTCACAGAAATATGTCTGTCTTACTCTTCAACACACTGCCAAGCAGATTCATTTTGTCTGCTAAAATATTTTCAGTCCTCAGAAAAATTAAGTTCAGTTTGCATGGGCTCTCAAGTATGTATTGATACTAAAGTGTCTTAACCTAGTGCCTCTCTTAAGTCTTTAGATTTCAGGCACTATTTCAGATACCACTGAAAGAGAACTTTGAGGCCTTTGTATCTATATTGATGAATTATTTTGGTTTCATTTCAGCAGATTTATCATTTTGAGTACGCTTAGAAAAAAAATCTAATATGGCATAAACACATCTTTTAGGTTAAAAAATAATGTATACCCTGCGATAACAATTTTTTTTTTAAACAAATAAGAGCTAAATTACATTTGAGACCTGAGGAAAATTTTCAGTGAACATAACTTCTTTTCAGAGTGGTGCTTGTGGGTAAGATATTTTGAATCACTGTTTTTTAAAGGGAAAGAGAAGCAAAGGTTGCTGTTTTCCACTCTGAATACAGCAGAACAAATGAGCAATACACTGAGTCACTAGAAGTTATTTGAACTAATATCCACAACTGAATGTAAGCTCAATTCCAAGTGAACTTACTAGTGAGAAATAGTGTCCTACATAAGAACTAAAGAAACCTTATCCCTCCCAGATTGCCCCACAGTCTTTGCCTGGAAGTGCAGGAAACACCTTCTGCATTCTTCTTCCTCTTTTCTTCCCCTGTGCCTTTTCTCTCTGGTCTCTGTCTGGCAATGAAGAATGAACCACTGTGGAAATACAGATAGTTGAAATACTCCCAGTAACACTGAGCAGAGACAACATCCAGCCTATCTGATGCTGGCAGCTGTCAAGCCTGGCAGTTCCTATGGTTGCATTCACCTGTAAATGAGCATTTTCTTTGACTTCCTCAGGAAGAAATGAAGAAAGCATAATAGATATGTCACCTGAAAATTATCCTCCTCAACAACATATCAGTGGGCTGGCTGCTGCAGAGTCCTGATTAACACAGAAATAACAGGGAAAACCTGACACCTGTTAGTACAGCTTTTTCCCAAGTAGAATGAATTACATAGACTAGCAAAGAATGCCTCTATCTAGGACAAGTTTGTCCCCACACAGGTAGTTATGCACAAGTATGCTTCACTGGGGCTGTATGTACAAGCAAAGATCAGATATTTTTGCCATCACACGAAGTTCGGTGACTATAAGGTATCAAACCCCCATAACCTGGCTTGCCCTTTTAGAATAAAGCACTGGCAAATGCATTTATCACTTCACTATAATTCATAGTTAGAAACACTAAAAAACTGTAAGAGATCATATTTCAGTGTTTTAAGTAATTGCAGGGCATCCATTACCCCTAATATTAAAAAATAAAGTTGAAGAGTGGAGAAAATTTAAAAAATCTTAGTTTTGCAGAGTAAGAAAACTCAAACTTTAATTTTTACTTATAAAAAGACCCAAATAATTTTGATTGGCCTGCAGCGAGTATAGTGGAGGTTGTGTACCATAAGAAGCAGGTTCATTATTACACCAGTCCCTGTGTGGCTTAAGACAAAAGTCTCCATTCCTCAGCTCCCCACAAACAGGGTGCTTTGTTAAAGAGTTAGGATCAGATTCTTCAGATCCTCACCCAGTTTAAATCTCTTCATGTGTGTAAGACTAAAAGCATGGCACGAATGCAGAAAGTCTTGAGCTAGTGTCAGTGACTCGGGGCACAATTTGTTATTGTGCTAATGCAGCACTAATGTCTGAACAACAAAGCAGTTCATCCTTTATTTTCAAATGTGTTACAGGTAAAGATCAGTGTGTTAGTTCACACCAGAAAGAAAGAATCCTCTTAGATTAATTAAGGGTACATATGCTATCTTTACACTGGTTTTCAAGAGAAGGCAGAAATAATGTCAGAATTAACAAAAATGATGACATATTAATACCCAACAGCTTTATTTTCATGTCACCCCTGCTCCATCTTCTCTGGAGAGACAAGTCATGAGGAAATTGCATACTTCATTCTCATTCTCTCTGTCCTTCCCCAACCACCCAATGCAGGTAACCTGTATCTGTCTCTCCCTTACCCCACATGATGCAGGTAATCCAGCGTCAGCAATAGAGGCTTCCAAAACATCGACTTTTATCCCAACAGTAGCAAATGAAGGAGGAAAACACTGGACTGTTAATGAAGTCAGAGCTTTGATACGCATATGGTCAGACAAAAATATTCAGCAGCAACTAGAGGGGACAGTGAGAAATAAAAGAATATTTGAACAGGTTGCTGCTAGACTTCAAAAGTTCGGGATTGACAGGGACTGGAAGCAGTGCAGGACTAAATACAAAAATCTGAAACATGAATACAAGAGTGTAAAAAGTGCCCAAGACTCAGGGACTGCAAGAAAAAGTATGAAATTTTTTAAAGAACTGGATGCTATTCTGGGCCACAGCACCATGGAACAAGGAAGTAAATCACATAATGATGAAAGTGAGAGGCCTCCAGAAGGGACAGAAGCAAAATCAGAAAAGAACTCCATAGGTAAGTGCTTCAGCTACCCATATATTATTTAATCCTTCCTACCCCAAGCAACCAGGTAGATTAACCAATTTGCTGGGGGGAGCAAGAACACTGAATGGAAACTTACTATTTTGTCTAGTAGTTTTATCTTACTTTATAATGCAATCTTTCAGACTGAGCGATTGCCCCAAATATTTTAAATAGAACAGAGAAACAAAAGGAGGGGAAAAAGATGAATATGTAGGATAAAACAAAGTGATACAGAGGGACCAGTTCCAGTCAAAATCATGGCAGAAGAGACTGTTAGATGAAAAAATGGATCAGACTGATGGTCAGACTGTGTTACTGGAAAAATGGAGACACTGAGCAACAAAGTCTGTAGTCATAGACTTTGGTTAGAAGACTAACATGCAATCTGTCAATCTGTTATGGTCCCCCGTAGCCCTGTTTTACGGGCCTTTGGAGCAAGACTCTCAAATACTGAGACAATTATTGTGAAAATAGCAAAAAGGAATAGCACCGAGAATGCTGGCTGAGCTTGCCTTTTCTTTTTCTGTGGATATTGAGGAATAACTTGGTAATGGATGGATTAATGCAGAATTCGAGTAGACTGATGAACCTACACTACCCAGGAATTAAAACATTTTTTATTGGCATGTATAACCACAAAGATGCCTGTTGTTCAGAACAGAATTAAACACAAAACTCTTTAGAACACAGTAAGAATTCTACACAGGGGATGATACTACAGTGCCAAAATGTAAGACTAGAATTTAGTAAAGTAATGGAAGAAGTGAAGAAAAATATACCAGTCTCTGGTTGAAACCTATGAAAACATTTGGGGAGAAGATACACTCTTCAGTTGCAGTTTCTAGGGGTTTTGTTAATGCATCTACTACTGCCTGCTGGCATAAAGAGCATCCTACGTTGGACAGATCTTTTGATTTGACAAAGCACAACTGTTCTTATGTAGTACACAAATGCACTGCCCTAATTAACATAGCATTATTTATGCAGAAATGCCTGGAGACACAGGTGAAGAGGACACTGTTAGTAATATGTCAGAAGACCTACGGGTTGCAGATATAAAGAAATTTTCTGACTCAGGTAAACTCAAAAGTCTTGTATTTTATATTAATCTCTAAACTTAGCAAATTAAGATAGACAAGCCGATATTGTAATTACCGTTAGAAAATGCAGAGGCCTAAAAATCTTATAAGCAGGAGATAATGTCATAGTGCTAACCATACCTTCAGTACAGGCATATGTGCACATTTACAGCACTGCTAAATTTAATAAAATACAGTCTAGCAAGTAATCTTTTCAAAGATTCATGACCCAAGATGTAAAGAAGAAGCTATTGGTTTAAGCAAGTTAAATGCAAAGTATTACTGCATTTACTTTTACTTAAGCTATGTCTTCCCAAGGATGAGAACTGCCCAGTCTCCTGTACGTGGAATGAATAGCACATTCTCTTTTTCACAACAGAACATGATCGGTATTTAATGTAATTATGTAAATGCTCAGGCAGGGGATAAAAACTTCATTAAGAGTATCACTACGAGCACTGAACATGAAGGTCATATGCTTTTCACAAAGAAACATTATGGTTTACATCTGAAAGCACAACTTTCAGGGGAAGCAGGAGTTTCACATTCAGCTAGAGATACATGAACATCTTGAAAACTGACAGACCTGACTTTCTACAAGAGGACCTCATGATCTCTTTCAGTAGCATGAGGCAGAATATGGTCTAAATTAGGCATTAAGGAGTAGTCTTACAGAATTTTAAATGGTCTAACTTGAAAGATTTTAATAGCAAATTAAAAATCTTCTCACAGATGATGTTACTGTAAATACTACTCCAGAGAATTGGGCAGCTCTGCATATAACAAAAGAAACAGCTATGACAAGTAAGTCATAATGGTAACATAATTAGGTATTACATAAAGCAGGAAAAGATGCACTTTTTTAATGTAAGTGTCATGGAGCCCCTTTATTCTCCAGTTTGTGGTACATGCTTTTCCTAGATAGTTCACATACTTTTAAAATGAGAAACTGGTAATTACAGAGATTGTATGTACCTAGTGTTCATCAATATACTTGCTGATAAGTGGTGTAAAAGGCAGTCAGGCAGTGATACATCACACTGGTTACCTGGTATCAGCACATGTCTGACGATCAGGATGTGACTCCGTGTTCAACAGAACTTATGTAGAAAACTGTTTCTCAACAAGCATGTAATTATAAGTTATACATACCCGTGTGCCTTTAAAAAAGAATGTAAATCCACCCAATTTGACAAAAATAGGAATTCAGAAATTCTGTTGACTGTGTGTCACGGTATCTTCCTATTTAATACATTAAGTTAATGTACTTTGTAGTCAGAGTCATACGTTCACTTCTCTAGATAACATACTAGCTAGCCTGGGCAGACATCTGTTTTCTGGCAACTGCAGCTGTATACATGCCTCCGCAGCTGTATACATGCGTAGAAGTGCATAAGGTGCCTCAGAAATGCACATGCTTCTCACCACCTTATGTGTAAATCTGAGTTATTAGCCACATTAACACTGTCACAACTGCCAGTGTTTATAAACAGTCTACTCAGGTTTGCCATAATTTAGAAAACAACAACAACAAAAAAACACACACAAAAAACCAACAAACAAACAAAAGATGGTATTAGTCAAAAGACAAATATACCCGTTTCAGGGAAATACCGAATTATTTGATGTTTCATTGCTTTTCACAACCTCTCCCCACGTATTTGCTACTCAAAGAGCAGCAAATGCCCACCTGAGAAGGAAAAGACAGAGGTAACTCAATTTTTACGTGTTCTACATTTTCAACAGACTAGCCAGCAGAGGGTGCAAGAGCATCACAGCAGCCGCAAGCCCATGCCGTTTTCAGCAAAAGCAACCTAGGAAAGGCTGGGGCCACTGAATTTTTCTCTTTTCTGGTAAAAGATGCTCATATTAAATCAATCTGGAAATAAAAAAACTTATTTGGACACTTTTACTGATGTTTTATATTTCAGGGAATCACTTTTAAGGGCAGTTAATTCCAGAAATCTACTTAGAAGAGCAAGTTCCTTCAGTTTACACAGGCAGTAGTGACCCATCAATTCAAACTCCATGTACATTTCACATGTGTCAGCTTCACAGTAGAACCACAGACTGTGTATAGGTGTTTGATTAATCTGAAGTGCCAGGGAAAAACAGTGAAGATGAAAACGAGATTCTAATGAATGCCTGTACCCTGACAGTTCTTAAAAAATATCTACAGCAAGTATTTTGCTTCAAACAAATTCCTTTTCTTGCAATTATTTTTTAGGATTTTTGGTGCCCTGCATGCTTTACTTTCTCAGAACAAATCTGGAATAGGTCATGACACTGCCAAGGTGCATTCCTAAGCAAAGGCTTTTTAAAAATCTATTGTTTAAAGTTAAGATCTCAAGTCGGTACATACTCAGGAACTTACTGGCTCGAACACTTACTGCTGTGTGCTTGGAATTTTAAGACATTCAGATATAAAGTCAAAAGATTATAATGCTTTAATATGTGTGCCCCAGGCTGGTGTGAAGCAGAGTGCCTCAGTGAAGCATAAAACCAAAAGTTCTTGATTATTCACCAGCTTAGGTCAGGGCACACTTGGGCTGCTGACACAAACTCCTAACTGCATGTAGGTTGCCTTTATCCAGTCTGATAGTCTGCAGGACAGAAATGGCAGAAATTTTGCAAGCTGGTGGAGCATAAACATAGGCCACACACTGAAAATTCTCCCTACCTCTGACATTTCCCATTCCCTTTCTATACTATGCAAGACACACATGAGAAGAAGGACTAGAAGACATATTACTAATCTTGCCTCATGTGCCAGAAAACAGGATAAATAGTGATAGTGACAGAGTGCCAAAAGAGAATAGAGCTTTTATCAGTCTGAGTTGGTAAAAGGAAAGACTGCGACAGCATTGCTCTGGTGGCCTTGTGAGCAATGCTTCAAACACAAAGTACAGGTTTAAGCATATTTACTGGCAATTGTCTATAGTTTCACTAAAGCTTTACAGTGAATGGAGCCACTGTGCTTTATCCATGCCAGAAACTGTCGACGGTTTGTTCTGTTTGGCTCAGTCTTGCTCTCCTCTTGCCCTCCCTCCAAAAGCTCTGATCAGTGGCTTAAAAAAAGCCAAGCTCCCTATCCACATTCTTGTCTTACCAAGAAATAAAAATAAAAGGCACATGATGCAGGTCACACAGTAAAGAACATCTGGTACAAACAAGGTCATATTGATTTGGTGAGTAATTTTTAATAAAATGGCTCTAGATTATGCTTCATTACTCAATGTTTAAGGGCAACATTCTTGAATGGACTGAGAATGAGCTGGGAGCTGGAAAATGCTGTCATCGATCCATGGTGTGTCCTTCACCATTTAATCTCTGTACAGCAGTGTCCTCACCTGGTGACCAGGACTGGAAAGACCACTTGCATCATCTGCCTGCCCATCCCTCCATCCCAGGACAGAGGGGTGGAATTCTCTCTTAAACACCAGAGGCCAATGGCAGAGGAGCAGAGCTCTCCTCCCCGTGGAGGGGAGCCCAGGGACACCTCTGTCAGGAGGGGCCCAGCTGTGTGATGTAAACTCCCCTCAAGCTGTCAGGACAGGCATTTAGTACTTTATCAGGCAGGCAGGCAGCCTTGCTGATCAGTCGTCCAGACACAGCATCCTGATGCAACATCAAGACCCTTGTCCCTTTTGGGGACGATTCAGTGACTCTTGGCATCCGTCACTTGAGAGTCTTTCAATAATTTCAGTCTGTATTGAAGCACCCCTTATGAAAGTCACCATCTGGCATGTTCTGCTGTGTAGAGGTTTACCAGTCACTACACGTATCTTACAACCACGACCAGGGAACCATTCACCAAATTCTGATCCAGGTTTAAATAATAAAAGTTTGCCTATTTAACCTGTATGCAGCTGTTACATGGGGTTCTGGATTTGTTTTAATATATAAGTGCATACAGTCTGCTCCTAAGCCCACTACTGCAGAGAAATGGCAGCTTTGATGTACTAACAGTAGTTATCATTAATGGTATTCTGAAGCTGGGGATTCTCAATACATAACTCAAGACCTGTTTAGTTAATTATAACTGTATAAATATATTTTTTACAGAAATCCTTGAAGATGAGGGGGATTTTGCCAATTCCACTCCGGCAGCTCTGGCAGCTACACAAATAAAGAAGGAGACAATTGACATAGGTAGGTCAAGACTGTGTCTTGATGGTTCTAACAGCACATTTTACCTTAGTGAGAACTGCAGGTTTCTAAGGTTCATATATTATTCCTGCACATTCTACTTGTTCTACTTCTAGATTATGATAAAATCTGGGTGTTTGATTTCATAGTGCAAAAATGCATAAACTCTTATTTCTGCTTCCCCCCAATTAGTAAAACGATCTTATTTTCCCAGATATACTCCTTATTTTGCTAGATGTGATAAGACTATTTGATTGTGACACAAATATTGTTCTTTTTCCTATACAGTTGTGCTAGAGAAGATAAAGTAGAGAGCTAAATGGCTGTCTCAGATGTCTGAACTTTTCATACCATGTCTGTGTTTTCAAACTACTTCATGGGAATGCATTTAATTTCAGACTATTTGCTATCAAACAATTGCCATAAATATGCTGAATTATTTTACAAGTCAACCTGAAACCTGAGCCTCGGCAATATGTAGAAGTCATGCATTCAATTATAAGTATTCAGAAAAAGATTTATCAAAAATTTTAAAATGTAACATTAGAATATGTATTAATCTTTTGGAATAAATGAGCATACAAACCATGGAAGGTCATGAAAAAGAGGCATCAGAGGAAATAATGACACTGAAACATATTGACCTGATATCCTGGATCAAAATATACTTTACAGTATATGATTCTGTGAACAACAATTCTTCGGCCTTTTACATTGAAAGTTTCTACTATAGTATTGCTATTGTATGCATCAGTATTTCTGTGATCCAGACAAGAACTTCCTTCTTGGCAGTTGTGTTACCTGAGGTTTGGGTGTTCAGCCACCCTATCCAACACAGCTTTTATGACTGTTTAGATAGGCTGATCTTGATTATGAAAGACAACTGTGACAAGTATGACACAGAGGGCAACATCAGAGTAATGCCATCACAGCAATGACACATAGAAACACAAGTTACACTGAGGATAAAGTAAAGCTGTGTCCCTGAAAGTTCAGAGACATAGCGCGGTCACACTGATACAAAGAGCAGAGTTCATGCATAATGACGCAGAATAAAACATCATGCAAATCAACTGACTGCCTTATACACACAAATTCCCTGCTCCTGTCATGTAATATCCCATTGAGGATAGTAAACACCCAAGTCAAGAAGTACACAAGTAGCACGGCCGAAGGCAGAAAGAGATTAGAGAGCAGCATGGTTGAGAGAATAAGCATATAAATGAAAGTCATGGGAGTTTTTATAATAGTAAAACCAAAACATAAAGCCTTGAAGAGCCCAGCAGCAGGAGACCTACTGCTCCATTCTGGCCCAAGGTTGTGTTTCCAATAGCTGCAAGTGCTAAAGGCGCTTTTTTCCTAGTATCCCAAGAAAATCACACATACATGCTTACGACAGTATTTCTGATTATAAGTTTTCCTTACAAAATGATAAGAAGAACTAATCTTTCTCTTTCTCCGAACCCAAAAGTAATTCCACACAAAAGTGAACTTTCAGCCTCAGAGAAGCCCAAGCATGAGGAAATGAGCCCAGTCAGCAGAGCTCAGTTTTGATATCCATAGATGATTTCAAGAATTTTGAGGGCTCCTGCATTTTACTTCTGAAGGCAATAGGTTTTATGCCACGAAAGAATGCAAAGCTATTATAGCCTCACCTCTGATGAGGGAGAAAACCTCACATGCAGGCATGCAGAATAAGAATATAATGATTTTCTATCCTGCTAGAGGTGGAATTTTGAAGAGAATTCAGATGCTGGTAGAATAAAAAATAGTTCTTCTGCCTTCCCTCTTTAATCCACATAGAATAGTTTCAGGTACCGAAAGGTTAAAACCAGGCTCACTAGAGATAAGCCCCCAGCAGCCAATGTTCGAAGAATGGTGTGGTAGTGAGATCTTTTGGTCTGCTGTCTTAGTGGAGGTAGGGAGACAGGGGTGGGGAGCAGAATGAAGCCCCCCTAATCCAAGGGGAAATGGTCAGTGACCTACTACACCACTTGGATACACAGAAGTCTATGGGTCCAGATGGGATCCACCCAGTGGTGCCAAAGGAGCTGATGGAAGTGCTTACAGAGCCACTTTCAAACATTTATCAGCAGCCCTGGCTAACTGGGGAGGTCCCAGGTGACCGAGGTTAGTAAATGCTATGAACATCTAACAAGGGCCAGAAAGGGGATCTTGGGAACTACAGCCTGACCTCAGTGCCAAGGTTATAGAGCAGATCGTCTTACCTGCCATCACACAGCGCGTACAAGACAACCAGGCGATAAAGCCCAGTCAGTCAGCACAGGTTTATGAAAGGCAAGTACTGCTTGACTAACGTGATCTCTTATAACAAGGTGACCTGCTTAATGGATAATGGAAAGGCATTTGTTGTCCACCTAGACTTTAGAAAAGCCTTTGACACCAATTCCCACAGCATTCTCCTGCAGAAACCAGCTGCTCACTGTTTGGATGGGTGTATTCATCACTGAGTTAAAAACTGGCTGAATGGCTGGGCCCAAAGAGTTGCGGTGAATAGAGTTAAATCCAGTTGGCAGCCAGGCAGAAGTGATGTCCAGCAGGGAATCGATTCTGTTTAATATACGACCTGACAGGAGGCTGTAGTCAGGCGGGGGTCAGCCTTTTCCCCCAAGTAACAAGCAAGAGGACACAAGGTAACGGCCTCAAGCTGTGCCAGGGGAGGTTTGGATTGGATATTAGGAAAAATGCCTTCACTGAAAGGGTTGTCAAGCATTGGAACAGGCTTCCCAGGGCTGTGGTCGAGTCTCCATCCTTGGAGGTACTTTAGACACATAGATGGGGCACTCTGGAACATGGTTTACTGGTGGGGCTTGGCAGTGCTAGGTTAACAGTGGACTCCATGATATTAAAGGTGCTTTCCAACCTAAACAGGTCTACGGTTCTGTCATTTCTGTAATTAATGGGTTATGACATTTTTAAGTGAAGACAGGTGTGACATGTGGAAGATTACAATACTATTAGACTGTCTAAGTCTATTTTATTTAAGAGTGTGTATTTCTACAGATGATGATTCTATAAGCACTACCTCAGAAGACAGATCTTGTACACCAGTAGCAAAACGGATGGTTGGGACAGGTGAGCATTAAATTCCATGCATTTATTCTGAAACAGAATCACACCGTAACGACAGTACCAATGCTGGAGCAACCACATCTCTTCTGTAATCAAAGCTGGACTTTTCTACTCTGACTCCAACTAGCTTTATCACTAAACTTACAATTTAGTTTTGTAGCTCTGTTCCCTGTCATGAGCAGGAGTTGCGTTAATACTGTTGACTTTGCATTCTGTACTTATCTGATGTGCAGCACCTGCCTACTTCTGAGTATTTGTGAATCTGAAGGCATTTTTTTTCCTATTGAATCCACAGTAGCATTTCTATTTGAATGACACTTTGCCTTGAAACTATACTGGAAACCCATTTTCTTATCAATGCTGGTATCTTGGCGCTTTAAAGCTTAAGGCCTATTGCTTTCCTGCATGTAGCGCTTGGATACATCTGTCTTTAACCAAAACTAGCAACAAAATTACACTGACAAATGTGAAATTTTAGATGCCTTGGAGAAACAAGAGATTTTACTTGCTATGTATTTTGCAACTTAACAGAAGGGTAATCATGTATGTATATTAGCATTGTAAAACTAAAAGTTTCCTAATAGGAGATTATTATAGATATGAATTAATCTTTCAGCTGCTTACCAAGCCATTAGATACAATTACACTTTAATGTATGTATATTCAGGAATACTAAGTTGTTGTTTTATTTATATTTTCAGACAGTCACGTTCCCTTGGAAGAAGCACAAAATCACTTTAAGGTTATTACAATTAACGATACTGGAGCAGGAAAACACTGGAGTGATAATGAAGTCAGAGCTCTGATAAGCATTTGGTCAGATGAAAAGATACAACAAATGCTTGAAGGGGCCACAAGAAATAAAGAAATTTTTGAGGAAATCGCCCGAAGGTTAATGAAACGTGGCATAGACAGAGACTGGAAACAGTGCCGCACAAAGTACAAGAACCTAAAATATGAATACCGTGCACTGCAGAAGGAAAATGAGCACCTTGGTAATCCCAGGAGAAAAATGAGATTCTACGATGAAGTTGACTGTATCTTAAGAAGACAGCCGCTGGGTCCCGCTGGCTGGGGATGTGAAAGTTCAAGTCTCCTATCAGGTACTAAAAACTTCAATGATGAGACAAAACATTTAAAACTTAAAGGCTGTTGACCCATGCATTAGGGTGAAATATATGGCCAGAATGGGGAAGGAAAATAACTGAAAAGCCTGTATCTGCATGGTCATGTAGGCAAAACTCAGCAAAGGGAAATGGTCTTTGGAGTAACTTAGAACACTAAGTGAAAGCACCTGAAGCATTCAATGTTCCTGGAGAATCTTTGTGCTTTTGGAAGCTTAAGTGAGATACAGTGAAATGATGGTATGAAGTGTGGCAGGTTTTAGAAGTGATCTAGCAAGGCATGTGAAGGCTGATGGATAGAGAGCTACAAGGTCATACCGTTTAGAACTGCAGAAGTCTGTAACAATCAAGCCAAGTGAAGGGACTCAAAAAAAATAATCTTCATTAGTTCAATTCACACCACAGTCAAGAGAGAAAAATCCAGGGCAGTGATGCTTATTTGAGCATTGTTAATTAGAATTTGCCTCTGGTTTAGTATTAAAAGACCTCTGATTTAGGAACCTCACTGATAACCTTTTGTCTGCTGTACGGGTTCTCTTAACTGCTCCAGCTCTCGGGCATTTGTCCCTGCTACAGGCAAATCAGATGCTCTTGTAGAAGCAACTTAACCACTGCAGCTTAGAGCTCAGTGAGTTACGGTAAACCAAAACTAATTCTGTTTTTTATCAAAATGCTAACTAGAATAATAGTAGTAAAATTGCAGTGTCATAGATGTTAGTTGAAAACTTGAACCATTTCTGCAGAAGAGGGCAGATAGCCAGCTTAAGCAGAAACCGCTGGAGCCATCCTTAAGCCAGCTGTCCTCTGTCCTGAATCAGAGCCCTAAAGCACTGTCCAAGAGCCCCATATGGTCATGCCATTAGTTGAGGCTGGAATGACATCCACACAACCATAGGATGATGCCACTACTTCTTACCTATCTCATTCTTGTGCTCAATCACGTTCTTAAGACAGGCATTTTCTTCCAAATACAGAAACTGAAGATTATCAGTTCTTATTGCTGTCTGTGAATGGAATTTGTCAACACCAAGAATATTTGAGCCAACCTGTCTGTTTTACATTTAGCATGCTGGAAAAGGACCATCTAATCTGTGCTGTAAATGCTGATGTAGGAGACAGTAAAACAATAACCTTTCAGAAAAGCAGCTAAAGCTATTAAGCTTTTTGAGGCATCTGCCAAATAAATGTGTCTCCACCCTGATTTAGTGTGCCAACCCAGTACCTAACTTTTCTAGAAGATTCTTACTGCTCCAGGTCACTCATCCCAATGCATTTGCTTTTGTAGTATAAGGTTTTTTGGTGTGTGACTGACTGTATTTAAGAATCTCTACAAAATAGTCACCTTGGTTTTCTCTTCTAAGTTTCAGTGGGAGATGTAACAGTAAACACAGGATCCTTGAGTATCAAGAGAAAAACATGGAATGATGGTAAGAGTTCCTGACGTTTTAAAGCACCTATACACTGCTGTTGAATTGGATGCCAGACTCTTAATTCCCAGTACTAAACCAGTTTAAAAATAAAGAAATCCTAGAACTTAACACCAAGCTGCCAAGTCAAGGTTCTCTTGCCCTCAACAGTCTGCAAAAGAAGAGTCCTGATAAAAAATGTGGGCCTAAGGAAAGCTGCAATTTATTTATTTCAATCCTCATCCCTGGTATGAATGAAGTAAACATCAGTTGTAAGAATCGTGTGCAAGGAAAAGATAAACATTTTTTAAAAGAAAATGTCTCAATTACTTGTGCTGCTCAGAGGAAAAAAAGGAAAATATATCACAGTCATGGTTTCCTCATATAACATGCATCAGTAAATGAGAGGAAAAAATACACTTATTTAGATGTATAAAGTCTAACATGCTACGTCTAGCATGTTGTACAAGAGAAAACACGTTAATGCAGCTATTCCAAAGAGAAGATATAGTATAGAATCACTGACAGAGAAAAACGAAGGGATGGGTAGAAATACATGGCATGCAATCTGACATAGGAAAGGTTGGGAGCTTGTTTGCTTTTTTTTCCTGGCAGAACTGTCAGGCCTTTTAAAATGAAAAAGTCGAACACTTAGGGATGACAATCTGAGTTTTGGGAGGCTTACCCCTATTTCTAATACTAAACTGTTGTCTTGTCTACAGACAGCTGAACGCAAACAGATCCAAACACCACACCATTTCTGAATTCAACCTGCTCAGTTCACCATCCCAAACTACTAACAGGACTAACTCCTATGTGATTAAATATACTTTCCGTTATTGCCTATTAGGCAAATACATCTGGCAGAAGTCAGTATCTAGGCAAAGCTGAAGGTTTCAAATGAGTAATTTTTACAAGGTCTGCTTCATTCCTCCTTGACGTTATACAATGACCCCTTATACAACACCTGGCAATGCCTACCAAAAATGCATAACACAAGGACAGCATTAGTAGGATCTAGCTAGATGTCAGTGTCAGCAGTTCATTGTCTTGCGCACTCTTAACTACATCCTTTGCTTTTGTCCACAGAGGTGTCACCTGTTCCACTTAAGAAAAGCGCTTCTGAAAACACCATACTCCACTTCCAAAAGCTATTAACAGAGAGAGTGCACACAGTAACAGAAGGCAAAAAGTTACTGTTAGAAAGGCTTTGTAAGCAGGAGGAAATGCAAGACCTCAACAGAACACAGCGGTATGCTGATCCATCAGCCATACAACAGGTTGGTTTAATGAACTTTCTACTAAATTAGCATGCAAAGAGATTCTCTCAGATAGAAGAAAATTAGACAGACATATTTAGGAGTGTAGGTCACCCACATGAGTGTATGCTTGCTCCCCTTTAATATATTCACCTTCTGCCATATAAACTAAAACAACACGAGTTCCCATCATAATCCTTAACTATGATCTTTTAGCAGTGACGTCAGTCTAACAAAAGATATAAATTCTACCTACATGCCTTGGCTCACCTACTGGCATAAGCAACAGGCTTAATGGAAAGAAACTAACACTTTGACTGATAAAGAAAACATGTATAGTTCAAATTGCATCCCATCATTTCCAATTACCATCTCTATGACCTTCCTAGCAAGAAGTCCTCTGCAATTAACCAAACAGTCAAGTCATGAGAACTTCTTTTTGGTTAGGCAAAGCTGGTGGGGAAAACACAATACTTAATTCCTTTACCAGCATTTACGCTCCTAGCTGCTCCTTCTGTGTATGCTGGTGTGGGGGACCATCCCCAGCTGCCCACTGAAGGCATGGTGCTGTGCAGCAGTGAACTGGAGAATTCATAAAGTATACAGTGTTGACGGCAACCTAGAAGGTGCAGGCATGAGTTCTGGTTCCAGTTCTGTGCTGGGCAAGGGGTCTGCCTGGCCCAGTAACCAATGAAGTACAGAAAACAGAGAAGCAATGCAGGGAACAATGACACAGTAAGTGACAAATGCCATGCCATAACTATTACTCTGCAAAATCCTACTAGCAGCTACTTTATTTTGTGATTGTCTAAGTATTCTATAGCCTGTACTGCCTGCAAGGCATGCATTTCCAGGGGGTTCTTTTAGTGTGTTCAAGCAGAACAACTCATTTCTGGATCTCTCTCATGTCTGGGCATGTATCTACACAGCCCTGCCAAAGCTAGGTCAGTTCTGGGCACGCACAAGGGCACAACTGAAATCAAATGGTAAAGTTTCTACTGCAGCAGCAACAGCCAACAGATCTCTTTATACACAGAGGCCTAAATTCTATCCAAGTCGCTCTTCACAAAATGTTACACAAAAATATTACTGACACAGGGCTTTGTTTCCTGCTGGAAGGGTAATTATTTTCTTGTCAAATTTTTATAAGCGATATTATGAAGGTAAATAATTTCCACCAAGGTAGATGTTACCTGCCACTTAACTAGCATTCATAAAACAATGCAGAAAAGTCTGAGAAAGATCCCTAGAAAATTACAGGGTTTAAATCATGTTCATTTTAACAGTGACATGCACATACAGTTTCAGTGTACACTTATCTACCGTTTTTCACAGTTCACACTGGTTACTCAGTTTAAGCCTTTGACTTGTAATACTATTCTCTCTTTGCAATGGTTTGGTTCAAAGATGCATCCCTGAATTTGGATCGTATTACCTGCACACATTACCTGCATACAGAGCTACTGTCTTTGGTAGGAGGACAAGGGATCTGTCCCTGCCATCATGGCTGGCAGTCAGGTATGCTGCTAAACATGCAGAGCCAGCTGAATGCATAGTACCATTCCTACCAGTAGTAAAACCACAGGATACTCCTTTTGCACATTAAAGTGAGTGATCCTACCCTAATTCACTGTAGTACATTTAAACAGTTTAGTTCAATTTAAATTTAAATTAAGTTTTTAAATAACTGTACTGGAAATAACATGGATCACTTACGTGTTCTGCTTTACCTGTTCAGTTCTATGAGTGCAAGACTGAAATTGATTTGATAACGCATTGCAAGAAGATCCCCTTTTCTCCATGCTACTCTGAGCAATTCAAAGCTTGCTGGATCCTCTATAAGCCAATTCAGCTCACTAACCTGACACAGACTAGTCCCGCTGGGGAAAAAAAAAAAAGCAAATGGTTTTCTGTAGCAGCCCCACACGTTCTTGGCTGTGCTAGGCCTAACTTTGAGCACCTCAAAGGTTGCTTTTGTTGCAGCGTGGCTGCCCTCACAGAAGAAAAGCTAACCTGAAGGAGGCAGTTAGCACTGCAAAGGAGACAACCTGGACAACCTGCACTTAACATTCTGAGTGATGCACAAGGATCCAAATCTTTCCAAAACTTTTCTGTCATTCAGTACAAACACCCCCCCAAAAGCTTTCTCTTCTTCCAGAAAATAAAAAATACTTATTTTATTCATTAGAATAAGCAGATCTTTCAAGAAATATGTATCTGGTTTTAAATGCTGTTGTTCAGATGGAAACCGCACAAAAGCACTGAGTCAAAAGGACTGTCTAAATTCTTAGTAAGTCAGAGCAGAGAACTGCAGAGACATCTGCACTCTCTTCTTTGAAACTGTTCATAACAGCATAGATGTGAAGCAAGAACTGACAGAAAATAAAGAACACAAGTAGCTTTCCAAGGGAAGTATTTTTTCTCAGAAATCTTTACAGAGAGTGGAAGTTACTTGACAAATACCCCAAAAGTGGACTTCCCTTTGTGTGAGATTCCACTGCAGCTCTTCTTTCCTTCTGTTCACATTTCTTTTCGGACAAAGATGGTAAGAGATGTCAAGTGCACAGGCATTTGGTACTATCCAGTATTTATGCACTACTCCCATTTATACAGACAACAGTCATCTACTTGAATATGTAGGACACTGAGATAAATCAAAGTGGCATCAAGACAACCTTTCTTCACTGCAGTTGTAGTTACCATTCCACATTACTTTTTGCTATAAAAATAACATGGATATTGCACATTTAGAATACCAACTGTCTACAGATATGGTCTGTCTGCTTTTGATAGGATCTGTGGGATTGCTAGAGTGAAGGATTTATCAAAAAAAGTCCCTTCAAAACCAGCAGTAGTTAATCCAACTCTTATTTCCAGGGTATTTTTTATATCCACTTGAGCTTGTGTTGTGGCTGTGCTCTGATAAAGCCTTACACCCCTTACAGCCACACGATAGTTTAGGCACACTTAGGGGCAAGTTAAAAGGAACTTGGGGCACCATCTGAGCTATGCTTAAAGGTTATATTGAGAGCATTACACAGGACAAAAGGACTTGGGAGGACAGGCCTTCTTAGACATAGACCCACAAATGTGATTCCTTTTTAGCAGAAAGGCCAGACCAAGTTGTTTCTATGTAACTGCTCCTGGAAATATTAATATGAATTACACCATGAAAATGGTGCAGCTTAAAAATCAAAACCAACACCAAGCAATGATGTCAAGATAAGCAATCATTTAAAAAACAGATCTTTGCTCTTCTCAAATATCTGCACTGTTACCAGGGAGGGGTTCAGATAACTGAGGGCAAGTCTGTCTCCTCTACCATTTGCAAATGACAGTGCTGATTTTTTTTGAGGTATGGCAGATAAATAAAGTAATCACCACAGTCTACCTATACTACAAAGTTCCATTCTTCTCTAAAGCACACATTCACTGAGATGAATGGGCCACTTTACATGTCTTTCATAGGGCTGTTACCCTGGAAAGTCCGTTGAATGCCCCATTTAGATTATTTCCTGGTAGACCAAACTATGTTTGGGCCAAATGCATGGAGAATGAGCTCCAGGGAGGAGAAATGCCTGCATTGTTGGTGGATCCACAAGCACTGTCAGCATCATTGTCAGCTTAAAAGACTCTCCCTCCAGACTCACCCTTTGTTCCTCCTCCAGCAGCAAGGCCTCCCTCGTGCTGGCACAAGAGTGTACATAGACAAGTGGTTAATGAACTGACAGAACCGATTTAATTAAAACTAGCCTAATGAAAAGCGCCTCTAAACAATCCTTACCTTTTTTTTTTTGAGGGAAGTAGTGTAAGACATAGCAAAGAGCAGCTAGGACAGCTTTATTTGAACTGAACTACCCAGCACGAACTTCCTATGCTTTGTACAACCCTCCCTCCAGGCAACAGGCTCACATTCAAGGTATGGGGAGGCAAGCCAACACAGCTTGTGAAAATTACTGGACAGCTGTACCATGCCATCTTGGATAACAACTATAGTCAATGTAAAGAGGAGCAGTCTCACCCCAATTCTGTGGCTAGGTTAATGTAATGGGATGTCTCCTGGCCACAATAAACATAATGGCTGTCTCCGAAATGTCCTCTTGCACAAACATTTTGGCACCACTTCCCTCCTGGCTTTTCCAGTCTTTATGTTATCTCATTCCAGTTGGTTTCTCTACATCCAGAGATAAGAGCTGATACCAAACTGCATTTTGTGACATGTACATCTAAGAGATCTGAGCTTGGGTAGAACAGAAGTCTGGCTTTCCGAAAACATATGCAGCAACCTGAGCCCTCCAGGAAGCTATATAAAACAACTGAGCCCATATAAGAGCTCACCACAACAGAAAGGTCCCCCTCCTCCTCTCTTCCTGCAGGAGTGAGCTTTGTGGCATGTAATTGAACTGGGCTGTCAGCATCTAGCAGCACAGAATGGCCTATAAACGTAAACCAAGACAGAACTAAAAGACAGTGTGTTTAGTAAGCGTCTCTGAAAGCGGGGAGCATTTTCAGTACATACAGCATGAATGTTCTGGTAAAACAGCACACAGACTCAGTCACTAGTTATACATACATCTTAGCCAGTATATGCTACAGAGAATTTACATAGAAATATGGTTACTTACAGCATTTGGCATTTAGATAATAAAAATATTTAACATTGCACTTCTTGAATCTAAGGACTGGGGATCTGCTAAACTCATAATAAGTTCTTGAGATGAAATGAATGAAGAGGTAAATACGTCACAGACCAAATTAGCAGGAATATTACCTGTAGCATATCCATGTCCCTCAGAAAATTCCCATCCAACTACTATCCCAAACTTTTTGTGTACAAGATTGATGTTGTAAGACAGGATTACCAATAGCTTGCTCAATGGCCTTTTTAAATATCAATTTTGTAGGTAAGAGGTTATATATAAAAATGTAGATAAACACTTTCATTATGCTACACTGAGGGTAGCTATTTGGAAGGATGGCTAATGGGAAGCAACCAGTAATTCTACTAGATTGAAAGTAAAAATTCTTAACTTACACTGGTGATTATTTGGGTTCTGTTGTGTGGGGTTTAATAGTGGACAGCTATAGGGAAGCCATCAAGAAAGCATGCTGGCCAACCTCTCCCTTCCCCCCAATTTACACTGATTCTCATAATAAACACCATACATACACCCAGCTGAGTTGGGACAAGGAGTATTCCCTCACTTAACAGGATTTCCACCTGCAGAGATCAGACCTTATAAGGGCCTTTTTTAAGAACCAGCACGAAGCTGGATACACTCAGGTTTCAGTACATAGTATTACTGCCAAACATTTTCCAGGGAATTTTGAAAAAGTTAACAGAAATCACATTTGTTCCAAGATTACCTTTGCAAATTTGTCCTGGTCAAGGACTCAGATGACGTTTAATAGATCTGTAACTCAAAGAACTCCTCCTCCTTCACCGCCCCCAAGAAAGTTGTCTCCTTACCAATATCCTGACTTTATTTTGGCATGCTGTTAGTGGATTACAGTGGCTTTCTTCCCTATCTTACAAATTGTAAAGATGTTTTAGAACATCCACTTTTAAGCCTTGTTAATGTTGACACCAGAGTAGCAGCTTTAGTGGTAGCTATAGGTTTCAGTCATAAGAATTCACTGCTAACATAGCTGTAAAATGTGTTAAAATCTGATGAGAATCACTTTGAAATGGTCTCAAGTTAAATTGGTACAATGTTGTTAGTGTGTGGAAGGCCTTAATTAGCCTGTGAGTAGGAATATACGGGTTTTCATTTTAATTCATAGTTCACCATTATAGAGTTAAAGCCAATGAAAAGCCAGATTTTAACTTCTGCTACAAAGGATTATGCATCTGTTAGTCTCTTAAGCCTGACTGGAACTGACCGTTATATTTACCATCCCTCTCTTACATACTTACTTATTTTTAAAAGAATAAGGTTAAGAGACACTTCTTGGGTTTTAAGTTTTAAAAAAATGGGCTTAATGCAATATACAGGTACAGTTAATGCTAAAACCTATTACTGCCTGAGAGCGATGCCACCCCTTCTACACCTCACAGCAGGGAAAATGCAAAAAGGTTAGAGATAAAACATTAAAGAAGGAAATGGGAACATTGACATCTCAGCTATTTAATAGAGTTCCATCGAGTGCTTGCAAAGGTATACCTAATTGAATAGACTGTGTCACTCCACAGATGCAATCATGTTTATGCCTCTAAGAAAGCAGCCCTTATAAGTTTTGTCAGTTACTGAGCTCTAAGATCAGAATCAGAGCTAGCGTGTGCATGCTTTTAGGTGTGCATCTTGCCATAGAACTGGTGAACTGCTTACAGTTTCAACCACAACAGTGGCGTTACTGTCTACAGTTGTGTCCTCCATAGGGGATATTTGATATTAAACAGCTCATGGAAATCAAATATACTTGTCAAGTGCCCATCAATAAAAATATCATGAAATAAGGTTGCAATGAAAATTGAGATAATAAGATGCAGAGTAATGAAAATACATCAATCATTTTATTTTTTTGGCCCACCAATGTAACTGCATAAGCACAAATGAGTTAAGATTTTTTTTTTCCAGAAAAATGGTGCAACCTAAAATGAGACTTTTAGTTAGTCTCATTAGGCTTTTTTCCTTGGATTCTGCAGCTCTATCTCTTCCAATGAAAACATTTTTGATGGACACTGGCAAATATATACTGTTTATGAATGATACACCTGCAACCCAACGTCTTAGTATATGAGTCATGTAGGGATGCAGGATTTTACCAGTAAAAGTATATGAAATTCGGTTGTAATAAACAGAAAATCTCAATGTAAACTATTTTCTGTTGTTGGTGCAAAGCCATTTCAAAGCATGCCTGTGATATCAGAAATACAAAGAACCTATCATTTTATCTATTCATTGCATGGGTACTCAGGAGAAGCTCACCTCCCCAGGCTGTCCGCAATGTGATTACAAGTGGGAAGTTAAGCACAGGGTAGAGGTGTTTGCACTGCATGTTCTACAAAGCTTGTGTGTGTGGGCTTGGCCGTGCATGTGTTCCCACAAGGAGCATAACCCCCTTTTGGCACCCCTGGGAAAACGGTCAGCATATGTCTGAATTACTTTGAATACCAAAGGGAAGCAGAACCCAAACTTCCTTTTGCAGCTCTGCGTTCCCAGTGATCCTAGTCTGTTTCACATCGCCATAGACATGGCAGGTAGAAGAAAGTTTCGTTGTATCATGGTGATGAAGATTCACAACTATGGCTAGTAGGAGCCTTAAGATCTACTGCGCCAAGGCAGTCCCGACGTGTGTTAATTACATTTCACACGAGCATCCCGAGTAACGCCAGGAATGCCGGCCCGTCTTGCCGCGCCGCCAGCGGGAGGTCAGCGCCTGCCTGTCACCGCTGCGGCGGGGCTGGGACTGGGCGACGGGCGCATCCCCGCCGCCACGCCGGGGGCTGCGCGCACGGAGGGTCCGGCCGGCGGCAGGAGCGGATGCCGCTTAAAAGTGAGATGCGGCTGAGGTGTAAGGCACGTCCCAGAGCTGCTCCGTCGGCGAGGCCGGCCCGGGACTCGGCGCGGCATGCCTTGCTCTCCGCCAAAGGGATGCTGCCGGGTCTCCCCAGCGGCGCGGAGCTGGAGAAAGGGACGGGACGCTCTGGAGCTGTCAGGCCCCCGGCCGCGCCGTTCGCCTCCCACCCCGCTCCTGCCGCCGCCAGTTGCACATGCCGAAGCGGACCCCCGACCACCGCGGGGTAGCCGCAGCAGCCCGGCCCGCTGCAGAGTTGCCGTTTTGGGACAGTGACCCTATACATCCCGGCCCCGACTCCCGTGCCCCCCCCTCCCTTACCTGTGCTGCAGCCCCACCAGCCCCAGCGTGATCACATGGGGCACGTCCAGCTCGGTGGGCCACACGCCGGAGGCGATGCAGCCGAACACGCCGCACTCCTCCCGGATGCCCAGCTCCTCCAGCTCCATGGCGCGGGTGGCACGTGGCGGCGCGGCCCCGCTCGACGGCCCCGGTCCCTCTCCCGCTGTGGCGGCTCCCGCGCGCTCCTGCCTGCGCTGCGCGCAGCCAACAGCGCCGCGCCGCCAGTAGCCTGCCGGGGTGGGCTCCCTCATTTACATACGGGGGGGCCCTCCCCGCCCCTGGCCCCGCGCCCACCGCACGCCGCAAGGCGCGGGTTCGCCCTCGGGGCGGGGGGCGCGGGCGCGGCGCGGGGCGGCATTGGCCGTAAAGTGGGGCCGGGGCCGTGTTTGCACGAGGAGGAGGGCGCCCGGCCGGGGCTCGCCCGCGGAACGCAGCGGGGCGGAGAGGGGCGCGTTGGGCGGTGATTGGCGGGCGGCGCCGCTGCCCCGCCTGCCCGCCCCTTCCGCCGGCCCCTTCTTACCCCGGCGGCGGGGTCCGGCGGCTTGTGTTGAGCGTGTGTTCTGTGCCCTAGGTGTCTGCTGCCGCTCCCGCCGCCGTAGCCATGGCCCCTGCAGGATCAGGTAAGTGCCTGCCCCACGGCAGGGCACGCTGCGAGCGGTCGGGGGACGGGTCGGCGGGTGCCGCTGCCGGAGGGGGTGGGGGGGTAGGTGTGAGCTCGGGTGTAGCTCCTTGGGAGCCACCTTTTGTCCTCCGCAGAGCTTTGCTTTGGGTTGTTTTCTTCTCGTGGGTGGCCGCGACCCTGCCCGAAGGGGGCACCAGCTGCCCCCTGTCCCGCGGGAGTAGCGGGCGAGCGCTTCGAGACAAGCGTTTCTAGCCTCGGGCGGAGGGTGCTCCGGGCCGCTGCCGTTCGGCTTCCCGAACCTCGTGTTTGTCCGGAAGCTAAACCACATCAAAATACCGGCTAAAAGCAGCGCAACTTCGCTTATCTCAGACGGCACCTCCCGACCGCCGGCGGCCAGCGAAAACCGGTGCCAGTGCGGAGGAGAGCGCAGCCGGAGGAGGAGAGCTCGGTGCTCCAAGTGGGAAGCTGCCCCGACGTTCCCTGCGCACCTTTCGTGGCGCCGGAGTCCTGCGGGCAGAAGCGTTGGGCGCTTGTTTCGCTCTTGCTGCCCGGGGGCGGGGGCAAGCCTCACCGCATTGCCAGCAGATGTGGGCTTGGCGGTGGCTCACGGGCTGCAGCCCGGGGTCCTGCTGGGTCTCGCTTTGCAAAGTATGCGAACTTGGTGGGCTTATTTGCAGAAGCATTTATTTCAATCTAAAACTTTGTTCATTCATCCGTTACTTCTTCAGACCTGAAACTTGGTAAAAAAGTTAATGAAGGTAAAACAAAAGAAGTGTTCGAGCTGCCAGATATGCCGGGATGTGTTCTCATGCAGTCAAAAGACCAAATAACAGCGGGAAATGCGGCCAGGAAGGACCGAATGGAAGGGAAGGCTGCCATTTCCAATACAACAACTAGCTGTGTGTTTCAGTTGCTGCAAGAATCTGGTAAGTATTTCAAAGGTAGAATATATGCCTGTGTATTACAGATCTTGTTAGAAAACGATGTTGTTTCTGTGTATCCTGCCCTGAAGCTCTGATGTTGCATGGGGAGAAGGGGGTTAGTGTCTCTTCTGTTTGTTTTTAGTTACGCTTTTCCTTCTGGACTGCAGAGCTGGGTGGGTGATTTGTTCATTTGTAGCATGAGAGTATCCGAAGTAATCTTCCAGTAACAGATAACACTGCAACACCTTCTGCTTGTTTGGACACACCTCTCATGCTCCCCTCTACTTCTATCAGTTACTCCTTTCCCTTGTGTTCCCTTGTCTGGAAGCGTCTTGCCTTTCTTCCTACATCTGCCTACAAGTCACTGCTAGCTAGTGGCACTAGCAGACTGTGTACTAAGCTGTGTGAAACTTGTGTATGAATGTTAAAATTAGAGTATCTTTCTATAACATTTTTCTTTCTCCTCAGTTTTTATGCTGTATCAACATAAAGGTTCTGCATGCTTGTGCCTTTGCAATGTGGTCCGCATTTATTGGTCTGTATTGAATGTTAAGGAGAACGTAACGTTTCCGTTAAGAGACTCAAAATGTTTCTGGTGCTAGAAGTGTCCTTTCATGGAATACATAACGAACTTGAGTCACTGAAGTTTTGAACCACACTTCCGAAAACGGAGCCAGTGTCTTTGCTTTGAGAAAGCATCTTGAAGTGTCTTTGACTGAGAAGTTTGCAAGTTGCAAAGAGGAGTTTGCACCACCTTGAGCTGCAAACAGTACTGTAACACAGCCACCAGTAAACTTGGTTAAGATGCTTATAGCTGCATGCTCAGTGCACTCTAAAGATTTTGCACAAGCATTGTTTAAGTACCAGATGAGTTACTTTAAAACTCGTATTATCTGTTGTAAGGCGTAGTAATGGTTCTCAGAGAGACAATCAGTAAAGTCCTAGTACGTGTAATACGTGGCAAAGAGAGAGATGATATTTGTGAGGTTGTATCTACCTATATTTCTGTGCAGTTAGTTCTTAAAATACGGGCCAAGACAAAGATAAATCATAGAATCATAGAATAGTTAGGGTTGGAAAGGACCTTAAGATCATAAAGTTCCAACCCCCCTGCCATGGGCAGGGACACCTCGCTCTAAACCATATTACCCAAGGCTATAATCCTCAGTCACTGCCGTTCTTGGGAAGCCTGTTGTGCATATAGCATAGAGAAGCCTCCAAGGTATTTCTGATTATATTTGCAGTTGACTATAACTACCAGTTTTCATTTAGGAATAGTTAATGTGATGTTTTGACTAAGTATTACAGAGCAATAGATAACAATTCAAAATAGCTAATATCCTACAGACAGGAATTCCAGTGTCAAGAAGCCATACTTGTAGACCTCTCAAAGATCCCTAAATGGCTTACGCTTGGTAATTTCATGTGCTGTGGAAAACATGCAAACAACCACTGCATTTTGAGGCAACAAAAGAACTTTCTGGGTGGTTCTCCAGTTTGCTTATTTGACTGGCATAAAAGGCAGATAATGTGAATGCCTTATCATGGAAGTAGTTTGTTTGCTTTGCGCAACTCTTCTTAATCTACTCTTTCAAAGATGATGATTTACAAAGTTCTGTTAAAGTTTCTCTCCTTTTATAATAGAGTTAACCTCAGGCCTTCAAAAGCAGGCATTCGCACTGATGAAAAACGTAGTAGTAAACCATGCAGGGCTGTTAATGCATGGATTTATCGGTGTCTTAATATGCAGCTGATAAGTTAAATCATGCTGCAATGCAACAGAATCTGAGGGGTCTATGGTAATACTGTATTTCAAGACTTTCAAGTCTTCTTTCATGGCTCTGAAAGTGGGATGGAATAGAGCTTCTTGGTTTGACTGGATGCAGCTCTTTTGTCTTCTGTTTCTGGCAGATGCCAAGTAGGCTTAGCAGTCATCTTGCCATGGTTGGGTACTTAGTTGCTGCTAACTTTTGTTTAAAAGCAAACCATTATGAGGAATAGGTGTGTTGTGGGTTTTGTTTTGTTTTGTTTTAATCTCTGTGATCAAAATTATTTGCAAGAATAGGATTTTTGGCCAGAGCACCAGGTTCTGAGCAACAAGGAAGCATTGTAGGATTAAATTGGCAAAACTAATGACTTGCAGAAGGTAATTGCATTGACTTCTTTTTGCAAGGCCAGAGTGGGCTTAAGACACCGTGAAGAGATACAGTATGTTCTTTAAGTCCAGAGATGAACAAGATTGAGTGGTACTTACAATAAAGATGTTTGTGACTTATTTCAACTGTGAACTGTGCCTAGTAATGGAACTAAACTGGCATCTCTCTGTTTAGGAATCAAAACAGCTTTTGTCAGGAAACAGAGTGACACAGCATTTATAGCAGCTCACTGTGAAATGATCCCAATTGAATGGGTGTGCAGAAGAATTGCTACTGGCTCCTTCCTCAAACGAAACCCTGGTGTTAAAGAAGGGTATAGGTTCTACCCACCCAAAATTGAGATGTTTTACAAGGTAAGTTTACTGTGATGCTAATGAAACTTAAACAGAGCTAGAACTCTGCATTATCTCCTTTCAGATGCAAACAAATAAAGCAAGTGGTGACAGTGGCTCACCAGTTCTCTTAGTATTGGTGATTTTACCATCCTAATGTTTTCTTGCATCCTTATCCAACACCTGTTTTGTCTCAAGTGTGCATAGTATAATACTGGCTTACAGACCCATCAAAGAGTAACAAACCAAACTACATAAAATAGAGAAATGCCTTATTTATAAGGTATAAGGGCTTTGGGGGCATAAACTTCACACATCAGTTGTAACAGATGTGTTTATATATTTGAAGAAATTAAAACAAATGGTACTTGCGTGGTGAGTACCTAGCTGCTCATGTAGGATGCTGAGCTACTTCGGAAGTATGTGCTGAAGGAAGTGTCTTGTGAACTATGACCTGAAGTGTTATTTGTAGTGTACCCTGTCACTCCTGGGGCACTGTCCAAACTCAAAGGAGCTTTTTAAAGATGTTCAGGTGCTACAGCAAAGTGTCTTCAATATTCCTGTCCCTTTTTTTTTAGTGCTTATCGTAAAAAAGACTAGTTTGAAGTCTGTATTGTTTTTGTTGTTGAAAACCAAACAAAACAGCATTGTCTTCTCATAGTAATTTTCCTACTTACTGCAAGCTTAAATTACGTAATGTATATGTTTGCTTTCGTAACAGGATGATGCTGCTAATGACCCACAGTGGTCTGAGGAACAGATAATTGAAGCAAAATTCTGTTTTGCTGGACTTACTATTGGCCAGACTGAAGTGGATATCATGGCTCGTTCTACTCAAGCTATTTTTGAGATCCTGGAAAAATCATGGCAGCCTCAAAACTGCACTCTCGTAGACCTGAAGGTACAAGAATCTGATTTCTCACAATCCTGGTTCTGACAGTAAATCTATCACTGTATGGTTCCTAAAGTAGGAGTCTTTCTGTCTTTTTAGATTGAATTTGGTGTTAATGTTCTGACAAAAGAAATCGTTCTTGCTGATGTTATTGATAATGATTCCTGGAGGCTGTGGCCATCAGGCGACAGAAGCCAGCAGAAGGACAAACAGGTAATGTGTTAATCTTTATCTTCTAAATTGGTTGGGAAAGAGAATGGAAAAAGCAAATCCTACAGTTAAACACTTGCTTTCAGAGTAGCTTGTAGGGTACCTCCTGCCAATCCTGTTTTCATTAAATAGTTTATTATGTGGTAGGAAAAAATCCTCTGCCTATATATGTTTGGTAGGAATGCTCAACAGCAGTACTGATTGGAGCTGTTGTTTTCAGGAGTAATAAGAATTTCTGACCTGTTTTGCAGATAATAAAATAATTGGACAACAGATTGGTAAAAGGAATAGAATCTTTAGTTCCCAGCTCTGCCTCCAAGTTGCTGTTTATCCAGAGTGGTATCCTATAGTAGTAGAGATCTGGCAATATGTAAGAGGGATCTGCAGGAGAGTTTTCTTCATGATTTATTTTGGTTAAGCTTGAATTCAATATTCAGTGTCTCCAAGTGTTACGAACAGATTGTGTCCACATAAGAAGGCTGCAAACATAAGTTTGAAATAAAGCTTGTCCTGTATTTAGACTTGTTGCCACTACACTTGTCAACTATCTCTGAATTACCAGATAAGTAGTTGTGAAAGAGCTATTTTGTGAATGATCCTGCTTCTGCATCAATTGTTGAGATTGGTAATGGAGACCCTGTAGAGAAAGTGGCTGTAAGCCACCTGGGAAGACTTCAAATGATATGTTGCGTGGGAGGAGGGGTATCACTATTAAATTAGGAAGCAGAACTGTTCTATTGTTTATTTTACCTGAATTATGTAGTAGCATGCTTGAGTGAATTGCTCTGACAATACCTTCACTGGTCTCCCTAAAACAATGCAGAAAAACCCTAAAACATCATGCAGAACCTGAGCTGCCTAATGCAGTGCTATTGTGGGCAAGCACATCAGCACATATCTAGTTTTAAAAGGGCTATATGTCTCCTTAAACTTACCTTTCAGGATGCTTCCAAAACCTTGATACCCTTGTGGCTAAAAACCTTTCAGGTTTCAAATGGCCATGGATTGTTATGTAGAAGGCAGTTTATACCTACTGAAATGGCCCTTCATTAAATAGCTGTTCCTTGCTTCCATATCTGTTTTTTCCTGTATCTGTACCACTCTGTTCTCATTCTTGTGGAACTGCTAGACACTACAATAAATACTTCATTATTAACTCTGGTAGTAAAATGTTTTGTGCACCAAAAACACATTAACTTGAAGGGTTTGGGTTGGTTTTGTTTTGTTTTTAATCTTTTCAGTCCTACCGTGACCTGAAAGAAGTGACTCCTGAAGCACTGCAGATGGTTAAGAGAAACTTTGAATGGGTTGCAGAAAGAGTGGAGGTACCCGTTTTTATGAACAATATATCTAGGCTTTGATAACTTCATGTCTTCAAGCCTGTTGACTGCTTTTCTTTCCCTTGTCCTGCTTCACTCTTTTCCCTAGTTGCTTCTGAAAACAAAGAGCCAAGGTAGAGTTGTGGTGCTGATGGGATCTCCCTCTGACCTCAGTCACTGTGAAAAGATAAAAAAGGCATGTGCAACCTTTGGAATTCCATGTGAGTTAAGAGTGACCTCTGCTCACAAAGGGCCAGATGAAACCCTGAGGATCAAAGCAGAATACGAAGGTAAGTAGCAGAACTACTGATTTTGGAGGGAAACAGTGTTACATTCAAGAACAACTTGGCAACTTGAGCATTTGTGTGGGATTTTTCCATGTTTTTGTTACACGCTACACCAAGCTGTTACAATGCTGCTCTACGCTTGCTAATTACATGATGACAAGTTATAGACTGCCCTAAGCAACTACGGAGTAACATACTGTCCTGCTGCCCAACCACAACTTCCATTATTCAAAGTCTTAACATCTGCTTTTATCCCAGTACCATAACTACTTTGCCCGACACTTGATCATGTTAATACAATTATTGCTGGTGATGCCAGTCCTTCTGAAACAGTGAGGAGTGATAATTCTCTGGCTGACTCTGAATACTCTTATGTGTAATTTGCAAGGCAGATGTTGCTCCCCTTATACTCTCCTGCCTGTTTCACGAGAATGTTCCTGCTTCTTATTTTGGATGCCATGAGAAACATATTTGATTTAAATTCTTGTCTTTAGCATGAAAGCCTGGTATCTTTTCAGGAGTGTTTATAGCCGAGGAGAGAGAACTCTCCCTTTTTGTGGCGGTATACTTTCTACTCAGTGAAGCTACAGATGCTGTAACTGTAGTGGAGAAGCACTTATTTTGAGATGAAGCATGTGAGATTTAAGGAGAAGAACACTTATCAGTGCCAGAGGTTTAACGGCTATATTCTCTACAAAGCTAAGCAGCACCTACTCCTCTGATACTGAGACTTCTCCTCAGAGGTAGAGTAAGACATGCTAACTCCAGCTGTGGTAGGCAGTAGCTGGGATTACGGGCTGCAAGGTTTAGGTGATGTTTCTGTGAAGGGGAAAGTCAAGCACAAAATTCTAATGCTGTGTAATGGAATTGACAGAATAACTGCAAACAGAATTCTGGACTTGGATAAAGCTTCCACTTTATGCAGAGAACAAGGTGCATTGCTTATTTCTGAATGTCTTCCTGCCCCCAGGAGATGGAATCCCAACCGTGTTTGTTGCAGTAGCTGGCAGAAGCAATGGTTTGGGGCCAGTAATGTCTGGTAACACTGCTTACCCTGTTGTCAACTGTCCTCCACTGTCAGCTGACTGGGGTACTCAGGATGTCTGGTCATCTCTCAGACTACCCAGCGGTAAGGTGGTCTTCAGCTTACACTCTTGTTCTGACCTAGCTCTATCTATCTGTGCTGTTGCTCTAGTGTACCTACACATACAAACACATGCAGCAAAACACTGGAAAAGTAGCTGAATCAGTACCGAATGAACAAAGTCTGTAGAAATACCTTGTGTGCAGTCTTTTGATGGCAAAAAGTGCAGTAGGCTGTACAAAGATGACATAGGGATAATCGTTAGAAAAATGTAAACCTTGTCTTACCCTTGCTACACATTCCAGTTTGAAATTGGAATTAGTGTTAATGGGGATTTAGAAATCTGAATTTTGTTCAGTTATAGGGCTGCATTTTTGTTATGATCAAAGATCAAAAAATAGCTTTTTCCACAATCCATATAGGTAAGAGCTTAACTTTGTCAGTGCGTTAATACCTATACGATTTTTAACTTTGCTACTGACTTGAATGGATTCTTGGCAACTAGGAAGCCCAGAAGTCTGTTACCTGTGTATGAGGAGAGTCATTCGGTATGCTGGCTTTTGGTTTAAAATGCCATGAAGCAGTTGTGTTAGTAGTAGTAGTGGAACGCATGACACTTGACTAGCTTTAAAACTAGATTGTGCAGCTCCTGGAGGCTGAACCAAACACTGCCTTAAATTGTGCTTCAGAGGTGGTTTCTGTTTGACTACAGAATATGTTCAGGTAAGCATCGCTCTCTTCTCTGCAGGTCTTAGTTGTCCTACTACTCTGTCACCTGAAGGAGCTGCTCAGTTTGCTGCCCAGATATTTGGCTTAAACAACCATTTGGTGTGGGCCAAACTGCGATCCAACATGTTAAACACCTGGATCTCCTTGAAGCAGGCTGACAAGAAACTTCGAGAGTGCACCTTGTAAGTCATCCCAACAAGTAACTTCCCTTAGTTATGCAAAGACGATGGCGTGCATATTCATTCGCATTATGATTTACACTTGGGTGAGCATGGGAGTTCTGCATCCTTTCTTACAGAGAAAGCATTGATAGAGCAGCAGATGAAGTCTGTTGTGTCCTCATCCTTCCCATGTGTGGTTTTTTTTATATAACAACTTAGTCAAGGATGGGGAAGTAGTATTTTAGGTATTCCTTTCTGTTGCTCCAGAATGGTGCTGTTTGGCTTTTTAGTGTGTACTGTTAACTACAGACTATTTCAAGAGAATGACTTGGCACAATCTAAGTAGAATTCAACTAGTACTTTGTTATTTCTGTGACAGTAATATTCTTCCATAGTAATAATGTATGTCTTGAACCTTACTAACTCGACTGGGCTGCTAGCTGAAGCCAGTGCTGATGCTGTTCTGCTTGCAATGATGATATGCTTTCCTTAGCAATAAAATGGCAACATATGCTATATTAAAAGGAAAAGGGGCTGGAAAAGTGGTTTAAGAGCCTGAAATAAATACCTGCCTTATTTAAAAAATGTATATACATACATGTCTGTGTTGGTTTTTTTAATGTGTTTGTAATGTACCCCACTGGTACCCTCTGGAATGATGTGATAAAGTTGACACCAATTCTCTTGTTCATAACAAGCTGTAACTACAAATGAACAAACAGGTTTGTTGTAGTCGCCTGCTGTAACTCTTACCTAGTCCAGGCTTTGCCCTTTTAAATACCAAGCAGATATCTACCTTCAGTAGTTCTGAAGCACCTGTCTGATCTTGTCACACTGTCTTCATACACTTCAGTAACTCTAGCTATAACATCTTTATTTCCTCACACTGTTTCTATAGAAAACTTCCTGAAGTGGGGAATCTAAGCATGACTGTCTTTGCACTCACTGATCTTCAGAGTACGATTCTAACAAATATGCAATTACTTGATGTATGTAACATCTATGCTTTTACAATTATAAATAAACTATGGAATTCAAAGCTGCTTCATGGAATAAGTATGTTCAAAAAATAGTGATCCACTGTGGTACATAACTTGGGGACCATAAGTGAGGTAATAATCCTGTAAAGAGTTTATGCACTAAACCTGCATAGCAGTTTTATTTTGTGACAGTCTTCTGGAAGATGCTCTATTACTTGATAAAGTGTCTGGCTGTTCAGGGAAGCTGTGTTGCTTTGTTCCTAATGTACTGCTTTGTGTGGGAGCTCAGGCTTACTCCCTTAGTGTGGGTAACCAGATTAAATGCTGCTGGCTGCATTTGCAGGAAGGGACCGCATCTTGCATGTAGTTGTATAGAAGTGCTCCTGGCAGTGCTGTCTTCTGGAGTTAAATAAAGAGGGGTTTAAGTCACTCAGAGTACACTACAGCAAAATAAGTAGAACTCTTCTCTGAGTCTTGAGGGGGGTTAATTTTCCTGTACTGGGACAGGAACCAGAACCAGCTACTGTGAGGGACAATGCAGCACACCTTTCTCCTTGTGGCAGCAGTCGGCTAGGTCAGGTATGTGTAGGTAACCACATAACGTGAGGGTGAAGTCACACAAGAGATGATGGTGTCACTTCCTTTTCTTTCCCTCCTTATCCAACACTACACTTAGTGTTAGCTTTGATGGGTGGCAGACCCAACAACTTTAGTACAACAGTGCAACACAACTGCAGCCAGCCATTTGTGTTGCTTTTCCCACCCCCATCACTGTGATGCATTGCTGTGTCTGCACTGTCTTTCTCTGTGCAATGAAGATTAGTAACAGACACGGGTTTGAGTATTACATCTGTAATACTCTACTGTTTCTAGTTACTTTTCTCAAATTACTTGCACCCTGATTACACTGACTTCATTTGTAAAACAGTGCCAGTTCATGTTGGGCACAAGCATGCAGAGAGCTCTAGTTGCCATAGAGATGGTCATTCTTTAGCTTTTGCATGGGGACTGTTGTTGGGGTTTTTTTTGTGGAGTCTGTACTGAACTCTCAGAAGCAAGCTCAAGGGGTTGCCATGCAAAGAAGTATGAGGAGGCAGCAGGTACTACCAACAGTGTGTTGCTGCAGCAAGCAGATGGAGCCTGCAAAGCCTGCCACATCTGCAAGGATATTACATAGTTGTCTGAAAGGCTGAAGTGCTGTGTTGTACTTGTTTAGCTGGAAGCTCTTCACAAAGCTTTTGCTGTGAATTAAAATACTTCCCTTGTTTCAGCATTCCAACTGCTACTCTGGAACAACGACCTGAGAATTTCCTCAGCCACAAATTGCTCTTGTAGCACTTAGGGTTTTTTTTGCCAATGGTAAAAACTATCCCAGCAGGTTTTCAAATAAGAAGTGCTTTTCTCTTCACAGAAGCTGTCTCATAGAGGAGTTACTGAGTGAAGTGTGTCTGCATTTCTTTAAACTCAGTTGGAATACCTGCAATGAAAATCTAATTTTTAAGCACCTGCTGTGGAACTCAGAACTGTGCATTAGGTCTTGTTCTAATTGGCAGTGTTACCTGCTGATCAGTAATGTTCTTTAAAGGTAACAGCAAGAAGCAGAGGAAGTGGTTGAGGACTCATTTTACATCCTACACTGCTTCAGGTACACTGTAACTGAAGCAGTGTTCAATTGCTTTAGGTGTTCAACCTTCAGAACATCATTTTGTTTCCCAACAGCCCAACCCCCAAAATAACATTCTATAAAAATGAGGGAGATCAGTCACAGATCTGAGTTGTGCTCCAGGCACAGTTCATAGGTTAAAGTACCTATCCAGGACACTGAGGTGTGGTTTTAATATCCTCTGCCTGGGGGCAGTTGTAAGAAGTGAATTTAAGGCCTTGAGAGGCTGCACTACAGAATTCTGATGGCATTAAGGTGCTCCCTGCTTTTGGAACCTTCCTTCTTGAAAGCAATGACAGTAGTTCACACAAAAAAACTTCTCCTCAGCCCCAGTGATTTCCTTAGCACCACAACTGAATTGTGAAATAGTGTTGGGAATCTTGAGCCATGCTTTGAAACAGAACCAGTGGTGCCTGTTGCACAGTGTTAGCATCATAGGGCAGTCAGCATGCATTGTCAAGAGCTTCTGAAAGTTCATAGATGAGAGCAGTGAATTTATGGGTTCAGACAAAAATGAGGTGTGAAGGTTGTCTGAACAATCAAGACTTGTTTAAGGTTATGTATGAGAGGAGAACTTTGAAGTATCAGATGGTTGATTTAAAAAAACCTGAAACAACAAACCCACAAACCCTGGACTTCCTGCAGAGTTTAAGTACTCTGGAACCGGGTTGCAGCTCTAGTTCCCAAGTCACTGTTACATTCCAGATGTAAGCGTGTGCATTCAGAACTCCGAGTTGCTGTGCAGTGGCTGCATGAACAAGAGGGACCCAAAGCCACTTAAGCATCTGTTGTGCTTTTGTGGATCTTGACCTTTTAGATATTTGCAGGGCAGAACAGCCTCTTATTCATGGAAGCTTCATTTGGGATACACGAAGTCAGGCTTCCAGCCAGGAGCTTGGGCATACCTATTCACTTCAGACTATAGTGTGCTCAGTACAGGTTAGAACAACCACCCAGGTTTTGATCAATTTAATACCAGGGAAAAGGGACAAAACTTCTCCCTTACTTCTCAGAAGAGTGCTGCAACCACCATAGGCATGCAGAGAGCTGTAGGAATGGAAGATCTCCATCTCTGCTTTTTTCCCTCCACTCTTTCAATTTGTTTCCTTAAACGACTGCAGCAGCGGCTGGATGTCAGCAATGCTGCAGCTGCCTGCAGAGTCCTGTAGCAGCCCCGAGGCAGATCCCCTCGTCTTTCCGCAAAGAGGACTGTGAAATAACAGTTCAACTAGACTGGAAGCATTCTGAAAGACCCACTCCCTCAAGTGTGTGTTCTGAGTGTAGAGATGATCTTAGGCTTGGAGAACACAGATGATGTATTGTTCCCTATGGAAGGTAAACTTCACAGCCTGTTAACGAAGGAATCAAGATGTATTGTCATGGAACATAAGAAAAGCATTATCTGTACCAGCTTTTCTCTCTCTCTGCCCTCCCGATGACAGATGTCACCACCAGTGGGAGGACAGCTTGACAGCAAAACGGTACAGGAAACAGACAACATCTCAGCGGACGATCGGGAATAATCAAGGATCAGGTTCAATTCTTCTCCCAGGTTGGGCTTCAGGGGAGCTGGGAGCTGCCGCGGTACCAGATGACATCCAGCAGGGGGCAGCCGAGCGGCGCCGCTAATCCGGCAGGGGTGAGCTGCGGTCCGCTGCTGGGGTATGGGGAAGGATAAAAGAAGGAATGAAAGGGAAGCAATAAAAGCCCCCAGACCCCGCCACCACTGACAGCAGCGTCGGGGAGAAGCTCACCCACTCTGCCAAGCACCTCACACAGCTCTTCATGCTGATCAAAGGGAAAACATTCCTGACAGGTCGGGAAGCTCTTGAACGCAAGGAACCAGCACTCACTGAATAGATGGGATAATTACGTACTTTAAGATGCCAAACTCCAGAGAATTTCTGTTTGGATTGGAAAGTGACTGTATTTGTCTTAATATAGCACAGCTCCCCGTTCCCAGTTTCCCATTACATCATTTCCCTCTTCTGACACACTGAAACATCTAGCACATGGGCAGCTTCCTAGCTAGTGCAGGCTCACGCTCAGCCTGCTCTAAGTCATTTGCAATATAGGACATTCTTCCATCTTACTCACCAAACAAAACAAACCCCCCTTAACTAGAAGTACAAAGACTTGCCCACCAACCTCCATCTAACATTTAAACCTTTTTGTCCTAGAGAGCCTTGCCACATCCTCATGGCCATTCCGGACTGCACGTAACCTACATTACTTGTACTATCACCAGTGCAAGTATGTTTTTAAATCCACGGCAATAGCCTGCTGTTAACTTTTGCTTGTAAAAGCAGTGGCAGTCATGATCATTCATGGAAGCATAACTTCACCAACATCAAATCTCAAAACTCAATGGACTCTTGTTTTTGCTTTGTTTTGGTAAGGGCTTTAGAATAACTTCCATCCTAAGTGCTGAACATTTTACAGCCTTCCCCCTCCTCCCCTTTAGTTGTAGAAAAGCACATGAGAGGGCAGTGAACAGATTTCAGTGTGATACCAGGTGACATGGATGCAATAATCCTTAAACAAATACCTCCTGTTTACTCACTAACTGGAACAACTTTCTTCCCATCTGAAATGCAAGTTGTAGATGGACAGGTGTACAGTCAGAAGCAGTACTAAAAGAGCAGTGTCTCGGACTGGGTCATCTGCAGGCCATGCAGCTGTGGTTTGCCTACTACTACTCCTGGAGGCCTGCTCAAAGCCAAACCTTCAACCATTCCCTCTGGGAACTGTCCCTGTCCCAACTGATCATGTCAAGTGAGCAGTGCCTCACCCTGAAAGTCTCCCTTGTGCTGTTGTTCAGATGACTCAGTCATGCAGATCAGCTCTACCCCACCTCACCCCTGCAAATCAGTACAAATGAAGCCATAGTAAAATTTCAGTACTTAGTAGGCATTTACCCCACCCCAGAGAGTTCAGAGGAACAGGTTAGATGGCTTACCAAAGGCCGTCCCTGTCCTTCCAACTCTGGTAAAGCCTCTAAGCAATGTTTTAACCTGCCCTAGCCTTTCACAGGATTCAGGGGAAACATTCCCCCCTACTACCATCATTTCAAGTTTCATAGCCACCTCCACCAACACATCTTACATCCACCTTTGCATATTGCTCTCAAAGAAACTTGGGACCAGTGTAAGGCCCACAGAGAAACAATCTGCAGGAGAGAATGTGATGAAGTTTGTGTATGTGCCAATTTCTGAAAGACGTATCAAGAAACATGAAGTTACCATTTCACACTGAGAAAACTGAAGTTTCTGAACCTAAAGTTCATTGGTTCTCACTCAGGGCACCAAGTTGCTACAAGAAACTATTTTGAGATCACCTATCCTTTGAGACACATCTAGTTTTGTTCTCCCACTTACGTAAAGAACACACCTGCATCAGC